CCAGCCTGGTCTGCAGCATATCGAATTCTAGGACAGTCAGAGCTACACAGAGACCATGTCAAGACAACTGGACATGGTGGCACACGCTGCAGTCCCAGCACTTGGGAGGCAGAAGCAGCAGAATCACAGAATCACTAGAAGTTCAGTTACCAGCGCGGCCTACATAGTGAATGCTAGGTCAGCCGGGGATGCAGGGAAGTGGGTAGGTTTGGTGGCACATGCCTTTGATCCCAGACAGGCAAGCAGGCCTCTGTGAGTTCAAGGCCAGCCAGGTCAACATAGCTAGGTCTGTCTTAAAAAAAAAAAAAAAAAAAAGTGTGTTTCCTGTGGCTCTCAGATTCTGTTTCTTCCACTGGCAGCTCAGGTTTCTCATGCTGCTAAGTTTAGCTGTGTTCTCCTGAACTCTTCCTCCGGTTAGGAAACAGACACTGTTTGGCCCGTGTATTCAGCTGACAGAGGGGTGGGTTGGAGGTGAAAGTTTCATGGTTTTCCTAATTGAAGAGGACAGAGCCTTCTGAGTTGGGGGCAGCCGTGCACCCAGGAGTCTTCATTCTCTGGATCCTAATCATGACGAGCGCCCTCTTCACGCTCAGGGGTCTCCCAGTTGGGACCTAAGCTGTTATGAATTAAGGCTACACATTCATGAGACGGTATCGAGCCCCTTCAGGTTTCATCTTTGCAGAGCACTGCAGCTGCAGGAAGCTGGGGAGCATCACTAAGGAGGGCTTCACAGGGGAGGGGGCTTTTTAAAAGGTGCGCCAGCTTGAGCAGGGAGGAGCAGAGGAAGAAGGGGCGCTTCGCTTACAGAGGAGGCTCTTAGGGGATATCTCACTTAATCCATAAGTGGCAGGAATCAAGGCGCAGCGTGACCCCTTCTGCTGCTCTGCAGTCTCACTCGTAGTCCAAACTGACGTGGACTCATCGTGTAGCTCAGGTTGGCCTGAGTCCTGCAGTCCTGCCTCAGTCCAAAGAACTGGGGTTAAAGGTGAACGCCAACATGCCCAGTTTATCCTCGTTAAAAAAAATTAGCTGAAGCCAGGTAGTGATAGCACATGCCTTTGGGCCCAGCACTTGGAGGCAGAGGCAGTGGATCCCTGACTTCAAACCAGCCTGGTCTACAGATCGAGTTCCGGGACAGCCAGAGCTAAACAGAGAAATCCTGTCTTGGGAAAAAAAAAAACAAACCCTATTTTTAATTATATGTATATGTGTATATGTATGTGTAGGGATGTATATGTAAATAGAGATGCCCTCAGAAACCAGAAGAGGGCATAGGGTCCCTTGGAGCTGGAATTACTAACCATTTTGAACCACCCAATGTAATGACTGAGAGCCAAACTTGGGTTCTCTTCAAAAACACTCATAAACCATTTCTCTAGCCCGTAAAATAAAAAAAATAAACATTTGGTTATATATTTTGTAGGGGTATGTAGCATGCCACAGCATATCTGTAAAGGTCAGAGAGCAGCTTGCAAGACTCCAAACTCATAGCTGGGCAGTGGTGGCGAATGCCTTTAATCCCAGCACTCGGGAGACTGGTGGATCTCTGTGAGTTTGATCTACAAGAGCTAGTTTCAGGACAGGCTCCAAAGCTACAGAGAAACCCTGTCTCAAAAAAACGAAAACAAAACAAAACAAAACAAAAAACTCCAGACTCTTTCCACCACGTTGTCTCTAGGAATTGAACTCCGGTTGGCGTGATTGGCAGCCTTTGCCCACTGGCCCTCTTGTCAGCCCTGCCCTCATTTTTACATAGGAGCCAGGATCCCATATCGAGTAAGAAGCAGGTTTGAACCGAAGTAATCCGTGATTATCCAAGAGGTGTTCTGCTGCATCCCGAGACTGAATAGAGTCAAGAGGGCCTCGCAGGGCACACACACATCGTGGCTTGGTGGGCGCATAGTCCAGGCAGCCCTGGGTCACGAGGGGTGGGAGGGACGGGAAAAGGAGCGAAGGCTGCACATCTTTTGTAACCCACGTCGGGATCTGCCTGGCGGAGCATTCCTGCTGCCTGCTTCTGGCTTTGACTGAGCCCCGGAGCTCGATGTTCATATTGCGACGGCAACCAGTTCTCCTTCCTCACACTGTGGCTCTGGTCCTTTCCTTCTGCTTTTATTTACCTTCCTTCCGTGCTGGGCACCTGACTGGCTGTGGTTCAGCTGCCTTGTTCCAGTTCCTAGAGCTCCCTACTCAGCCTTTCCCCTGACCTCTTACCCTTTCCTCTAGGTGGGGCGCATGGCCTTTCATGATTACAACCCCTCCCTTCTCCCGTGAGTCAGACATCTCTGAGCCACTCATCGCTAGAGTTTTCCTGTCTCTTTGGTCCACAGCCGTCAAGGTGATTCTCGGTATCTACAGACAGAGGGGCCTTTTCTTGTCTCAGAAGTCAAAGGAGATATTATGTCATATGGCTGGGGTCTTGGGTGTAGAGTTATCTTACTGCTTTGGGAAAGAGTCTAGTGTGTGCCGTGTCATGGTGGTCTATGTATAGAATCCCAGCAATAGGGAGGCTGAGGCTGGATGACTCAAAACAAAACTTTAAAAAAGAAAGAAAGTTGGGGCCAGAGCTATGGGTCAGTGGAGGATAATTCCAGCTGTTCTTCCAGAGGACCCTGGTTGGGTTACCAGCACTCATTTGGTGGCTACCAATGGTCTGTAGCTGCAGTTCAGAGAGATACTGTTTGGTCTCTGTGGGCAGTGCATACATGTGTTACACAGACAAACATGCAAGCAAAATACCCAAACACAAAAAATAAATATAAATCTCCAAAAATGATTTAAAAAAGAAAAAGTTGTGAAAGCCTAGCCCTTCCATGGTGCTTTTGATATGACTGGGCCCACACTGCACACAAACACGGCACGCGGCCGCCCAGTGAGGCTGGTCGGCACATCTGTCATTCACACGGTTGTCATCTCACACTCCTTCAAAACAGGGTCTCCCTGTAGGCCAGGCTACAGGTCACTGTGTAGACCAGGTTGGCCTCAGACTCACCACCACTACTCCCAGCTCTTTTATTTTTCCTTTGACAGAGTCTCCCGGAGCCTCAGTTGACCTTGAATTTGCTTTGTAGCTGAACTTCTCACCCTCTTCCACATCTCTTACCTGGGACGACAGGCAGATGCTGCCACCCCGGCTCACAGTGTTGGGTTATTGGACAAGGACTTCTTTCACGAGGGCAAGCACTCTGTTAACTGAGCTGCGTCTCTAGTCCTAATGTGTTTTGTTGCTGTTTGATTGTTCCTTTGACTTACATAGCACAGGCTGACCTCAAGCTCACAATGCAAGCGAGACTTCTGGTCCCCCGTCCCCATCCCAAGTGGAGTGAGGTTGCAGGCATGCACCACTATTGGTCCCCCCCTCCCCGTACCCTCGTATCCCCCCCCATTCCGAGTAGAGTGAGGTTACAGGCGTGCACCACTACATCAGCTCATGGTTTGTTTCCTGAAGCAGGGTTTTGCTATGCAGTTTAGGCAGGCCTCTAACTCTGTAATCCAGGCTGGTCTCAGCGTCCTTGGTGCTGGAATCACAGGTATAAATAACCACACCTGACAAGAGGTCCATACTTCCAAAAAAGTAATTAATTTATTTTGTGTATGTGTATCATGGCACACATAGTAAGGTCAGAGGACAAGTTCTCCTTCTACCATGTGAGACCTGGAGATTGAACTCAGGGCTTGGCCCTTGGCTGCAAGGGCCCAAGGGTTCCATACACTTGATGTAGTCCTACAGAAATGCACATGGGCAGATCCTGAGAGCAAACATCCTATAGGGCCCCTTGCCCCAAAGGCCTGACAACCTCTACTTTTTGTTTCTCTTGTGGACAAATAAATGGGGAAGAGAGCGGATTGCGAAAAGAAGCCTGTCTGTGGGTCGGAGATAGGACTTAGAGCTCAGTGCTCACCTGGCGCGCACGAACCCTGAGGTGCCGTGGAATAACCTTCTGGACACTGAATATGTATTACTCTCATTGGTTAATGAAGAAGCTGATTGGCCTGTACTATAGCAAGGCAGGGTAAAGTTAGGGGGACAATCAAACAATACTGGGATGAAGAAGGGTGGAGTCAAGAGAGATGCCAGCCAGCCACCGCCAGCTAGCCACCGAGGAAGCAGGACGTGCAGAAGATGAGTTAAGCCACGAGTCACGTGACACAGATTAGATAAGAAATATCTAACTTAATTTAAATGTCAGAGTTAGGTAGTAACAAGCCTGAAATCTCGACCAAGCCAGGTTTTGATCGCTATGACTGCGCTGCTATCAGTGCCCACCCCCCTCCCCGGTGGAGGCCAGAGATGCTGTCAAAGTTCTCTGCTGGGCTGGGCAGCCCCTACAGCAGAGGCTTCCCCAGCTCCGGTCAACAAGGCCGAAGTGAGGGAAGCTTGCAGTGCCTGGTAGGCCATGTTTGATCTCAGTCAAGCCTGATGACCTGATTTGGCGCCTGGACTCCACACAGTGAAAGGAGTCACCATCTGTGCTCCACGAGCACACAGAATAGAGAGAGTGAAGGTGCTGATATGTTTTCTGAGACAGGGTCTCACTGTGAGCCCTGGCTGACCTGGAACTTGCAGTGTAGACCAAGCTGTACTGGGGTGGAAGGCATGTACCATCACGCCCAGCCCACCACCCTACCATTTTAAAAATAAGCTAGCTTAAGCCAGAAGGTGGGGCTCAGTTGATAGAGATCTTACCTAGAATACACAGCCCAGGGTTCAATCTCCAGCAACACATAAACTGGGCACAATGGTACATGCCTGTAACCCCAGGGCTAGGAAGGTTGAAGTAGAAAGATCAAAATGTTGAGAACTGTTTGGATTATTTAGAAAACCCTATCTCAACGGTAAGATATAGATAGATAGATAGATAGATAGATAGATAGATAGATAGATAGATAGATAGATAGATAGATATCTCAGTAGCAGAGTGCTGGTCCAGTGTGTGTAGTTCCTTAGCTATAATCCCCAGCACCCAATATCAGATTATAATAATTCTTTTTCTTTATAGACAGGGACTCAAATAACCTGGACTGGCTGAAACTTGATATTTAACTGAGGCTGGACCAAACTCCCGATTTTCCTGCCTCTACCTCCCAAGTGCTGAGATTACAAGTATGTGCCATTCCACCCAGCTTGATAATGCTTGAAGTGTGTGCACGCCTCCTTTGGCTGTTCTAGAGACTAAATGATCAGTTAATTGGTGTAAAAGTATTAGAATAATGCATAACATCCTCAAACATTTAAATAAAAACAAAACCAGCCTGTCTGCTATTGTAGATACTGTCGTCTAAATGTGTTTGAAGATTTTGAAAGCTCGGGAGATTAATGGGAACAAGGTTAATGTTATCAGTTCTCTGTCTGCATTATCAGCACCTGGACTTGTCTTTTGTTTTTTTTCCTTGAGACAGGGTTTCTCTCTGTAACAGCTCTGGGTGTCCTTGAACTCACTCTATAGACCAGGCTGACCTCAAACTCACAGAGATCCGCCTGCCTCTGCCTCCCGAGTGGCTAGCAGATGGACTTTTCAAAGTTCTGAGCCACGCGTGGAGTCACAGACCTTTAATCCCAGCACTGGGAGAAGGGGGATGAGTTCAAGTCCAGCTAGGGCACCATAGTGAGACCCTGTCTCAAAACAAAACACAGAAGTTCCTGGCTGAGGAGATGGCTGTCTAGTTAACATTACTATTACTGTGATGAAACACCAGGATCAGCCAGGCAGTGGTGGCGCACGCCTTTAACCCTAGCACTCGGGAGGCAGAGGCAGGCGAGGCCAGCCTGGCCTACAAGAGCTAGTGCCAGGACAGACTCCAAAGCCAGAGAGAAACCCTGTCTCGAGAAACAAAAACAAAACAAAACAAAAACAAAAAACAAAACCAAAAAAAAAAAAAAAAGAAGCACCGTGACCAAAGCAACTTGGGGAGGAGAGGGTTTACTTGGCTTTTGCTTTCACATCACTGTTCCTCACCGAAGGAAATCAGGACAGGAATTCTAACAGAGCAGGATCCTGGCGTCAGGAGCTGATGCAGAGGCCATGAAGTGGTGTCACTTACTGGTTAGCTCCTCATGGCTTGCTTAGTCTGCTTATAGAACCCAGGACTACCAACCCAGAGATGGCACCACCCACAATGGGCTGGGCCCTCCTATATCAATAGCCAACTAAGTTAGTCGAGGCTCCCTCCTCTTCAATGACTGTAGTTTGTGTCAAATTGACATAAAACTCGTCAGTACAATGGCTGAATGAATAAAGTATTTATTGTGAGAGTGTGAGAGCAGACGTTCAGATCCCAGAACACATGTAAAGCCCGATGCCACATCATGAATCTGTCATCTTAGTGCACTTACAGCAAAGCCAGATGGGTATCAGGGACAGGAGAGCCCCTGGAAATGTGTGGACCTGCAGTAGTGAGCAAGAGACCCTCCCTCAAAAGAGGAGAAAGGAGAGGGCCAACATCTCTGAGGTTGCCCTCTGACCTCTGCATGGCCCCTTTACTGTGGGTTCTGCCTTTACTTCTGTAGTCAGCGTACAGAGTGATGAGGGGCTGGCGAGGCAGCTCAGCAGCTGATGGTGCCTGCCTCCAGCCTGCCAGTTCCATTCCCTGGACCACGTGGTGTAGCATTTGGGGAACAGCTTTCCAGTGCTGGTTTTCTCCTCCCGCCCTGTGGATTCCAGGAGCCCAACTCAGGTCACCAAGCCAACACCTTATCCACTGAACCTCTTGCTGACTCTAGATTTTATTTTCACCTTTATGTCCAGAGTCTCTTTGCTTATTTCCTTAGCATAGAAATGTAAAAGTTACTACTTTATTTTGAAAATAGGGGCAATGGGTGACAAACTGGGCCTGATATCCTTGAGAGCATGGCATAACTGTCCATTACCAGAACATTCTGTCTCTGAGTACAGTGAGAGCCCAAAGAAGCATAAGCAATCAGGTAATTGTTTAGTGTTCTGAGAATTAACATGCAGGGACAAGGTTGGCAGAAAGGAACAAGTGTCTTTCTGCCAACTGGATGCATATAACTGCATCCCATGGCAGTACCGTGTCCTGAAGGTCGGTGAGAAGATGTCCGTGAGGCCCCACATGAGTGTGAGGTAACAGGAAAACACAGAGATGGTTTTATGAATTCCTCTTTCCCCTCCAGGAGTCCAGGCCTCTACATGTTGTGCTGGGAAATGAAGCCTGTGACTTAGACTCCATGGTGTCTGCTCTCGCCCTGGCCTTTTACCTAACAAAGGTGAGTACCAAGAAATATTCCCTTTGTGAAAAGATTTGGGTTCAAGACCCAGCTCTACCATTTATTACTATTTAGCGTTAGTGCCGGGCAGTGGTGGTGCACACCTTTAATCCCAATGCGCAGGCAGAGGTAGGTGGAACTCTGTGAGTTCGAGGCTAGCCCGGTCTACAGAGTGAGCTACAGAACAGCTAGGACTGTTACACAGAGAAACCCTGTCTCAAAAAAAAAAATAAAAAATAAAAATTTTAGCGTTGGCTAAATTGAAGTTAAACCTCAGCTAGATGTGACGGCACATATCTGTAAGGCCTTGGAAACGGGAGTCAAGAGGATAAGGACTAGCCTATTTCACTTTAAAAAAGAAAAAAAAAGGACTGGAGACATGGCTGGGAGGAGCAGAGCTCAGTTCTCCAGCACCTGTGTGGTCCCAACCATTTATAACTCCAGTTCCAGGGGATCCAGTGCCTTCTTCTGACCTTCACAGGCACCAAGCACACATTTGGTATGCATACAGTACCCAGGTCAGATACTCAAGCATAAAATAAATCCATAAAAAAAGAAAATAAAGTTAGAGAGAGGTTGGGGTAGCTCAGTCAGCAAAGGTCCTGCTGTCTTGCTGTGCAAGCGTGAAGACCCAAGTTGGAGCCCCAGAACCCACAGGAAAAGGTCAGGCATGGTGGCATTCCCTTCTCTTCCCAGCACTAGAGCCCAGGCAGGCAAATCCCTGGGGCTCAGTGGCTACCACTTAGCCTACCTGTTGAGTTTTAGGCAAGTGAGAGAATTGTCACCCTGTCTGGTGGCAATTCTGGTGCCTTAGGAATGACACCTGAGATTGTCCCCTGGCCTCTATACTTGCTTAGGCAGGTATACATACACCTGCACCTGTGCACAGCACAAGATAAATCAAGATCCCTTGTTGAGTACTGTGTTAGTATCTGGGTGTATAAGTCTGTTTGGAGGAATGTCTTTCTATTGCTGTGATGAGGCACTGTGACTCAGGGAACTCTTATAAAAGAAAACATTTAATTGGAGTGGCTTACAGTTTCAGAGGTTTAGTCCATTGTCATCATGGCAGGCAGCATGCAGACATGGTGCTGGAGAGGAACTGAGTTCTACGTTCATATCCACAGGCAGCAAGAAGAGAGAGAGCCACTGGGCCTGCCTTGGGCCCTGAAACCTCAAAGCCCACCACCAATGACACACTTCCTCCTGTAAGGCCACACCTCCTAATCCCTCCAACTAGTAACACTTTCTGAATGACTAAGCATTCAAACATATGAGTGAATGAGTAATTCTCATTCAGACCACACCAAGGGGTTTGCAAAACCATAAAATTAAATTTAGCTTATTACTGAGTTCCTTATGGATCCCAATGATGTAGTAGTTGTCTTCCCAGATTAGCTTCCTTGCTTCTTTTTTTTTCTTGAGACAGGCTTCTATTTATTCCACATTGACCTTGAACTAGCAAAGCAGCTGAATTTGTTTTGTTTTTTTTTGAGACAAGGTTTTTCTGTAGCAGCCTGGCTGTCCCGAACTTGCTTTATAGACCAGGCTGGCCTTGAACTCAGAGATCCAACTGCCTCTGCCAACCGAGCACTAGGATTTAAGGCATTCACCACCACCTCCCAGCTAACATGGAATTTTTAATTCTGCCTCTACCTGTGTGCCAGGATTACAGGCATAGGCCATACTGTATATGCAGTGTTGGGAATTCCTAGGCCTCTTGCATGCCAGGTAAGTACTATTCCAACTGAGCTACATCCCTCTAAGTTCAGGTCAATTAAAAACTATTATTTTATGTGTATGGATGTTTTGCCTGCATGTATGTCTATGCACTATGTGTATGTCAGGTTCCCTCAGAATCCAGAAGAGGGCATCGGATCCCCTGGAACCCGAGGTATAGATGGTTGTCAGCTGCCATGTGGGTGCTGGGAATGGAATCTGGGTCCTTTGGGAGACCAGCCAGTGCTCTTAACCTCTGAGCCATCTCTCCAGCCCCTCAGGTTAACTCTTAAGGGAGGGCTGATAATCTCTTCCCTGTACCGTGAAGTCTATACCCAGTCTTTCCCATAAATCAACTTGTTGATTTCCGTGCTATTGCTAAGGAGGAGGACAAAAACCATCTTCTGAGAACAGCAGGGTACAGCTCAGTCATAGAATGTGTGCTCCCAATGTCAAGCTCTGGGTTTGATTCTCCAGTTTAAAAAAAAAAAAAGTCATCCTTTTATTTTTATAGATTTGGTAATTGGTACAAAAGTGGCAATTGCTGGGCGGCAGTAGTTCACACCTTTAATCCCAGCTCTAGAAGGCAGAGGCAGGCGGATCTCTGTGAGTTCAAGCCCAGCCTGGTCTACAGAGCGAGTTCCAGGACAGCCAGGGATACACAGAGAAACCCTGTCTCAAATAAAAAATTTTTAAAACATTTAATTATTTGATAAGTGTGTGGTGGTAAGTTACCCCAGGTCATGTATGGTTTGGACTGCTTTTTACATATGTGTGTTAGGGAGTAAACCCAAAGCCCAATCTTGCTACTCTTCCTTGTGTTTTCAAAACCTTCTGATGTCTTCTTTTCAATTCCTTACTAGACCGCGGGGGCAGGAGAGATCTTTATACCCGTGTTAAACATAAACCGTGCTGAGCTTCCTCTACGCGGGGACAATGTCTTCTTCCTCCAGAAGGTTCAGATTCCAGAGTCTGCGCTGGTTTTCAGGGATGAGATCGACCTCCACGCACTGCACCAGGCTGGCCAGCTCACCCTCATCCTTGTTGACCATCACGTCTTACCCAAGTAAGTGGGCAGAGTGGTGGGTGACTGAGGCAAGTAAGTGGGCGGAGTCAAGTAAGTGGGTGGAGTGGTGGAGGCAGAGTCAAGTAAGTGGGCGGAGTGGTGGAGGCGGAGTCAAGCAAGTGGGCGGAGTGGTGGAGACTGAGTCAAGTAAGTGGGCGGGGTGGTGGAGGCGGAGTCAAGTAAGTGGGCGGAGTAATGAGGGCGGAGTCTGGAGTGGTGGAGACTGAGTCAAGTAAGTGGGCGGAGTGGTGGAGGCGGAGTCAAGTAAGTGGGTGGAGTGGTGGGGGCGGAGTCAGGTAAGTATGTGCTCATCCTGCACTTGAGACTCTGGCAACTGACACAGAAGGAAGGGGGTTCGCCTTCTGGAGTCTCAGAGGCTAATTTTTGTGGTTTTTGTCTGTGGTTTTTGTTTGTTTGTTTGTTTGCTTTGTGCAACATTGACTGGCCTGGAAATCATTGTGTATTCCAGTCTGGCCTCAAACTCAGAAATTCACCTGCCTCAGAAGCCCATTAAACTATAATTAGTGGGTCATATCCATATGAAAAACCTATTAAAATAGTGTCATTTCTCTAGTTATATGATGTTTATGATATAAAGAAGTAAAAGTACCTAGTGAGTTCAAACTAATTCAAAATACCTTAAATCTGCCTTTAATGTCAGAACCTTTTGCTGTTTTGAAACACAGGAATACTATGTTCTAGTAGGCTCTAGAAATATCAGTCAGTCTGTTCAACAAATGTGGACATCTGTAATAATTCCACTTCTAACTTAGGACTAGAAAACCCTGCCAGAAAGCAACATTACTATGAAATTTGCTATTCTTAAAATGCATAGTTTTCCCTTGAGCACGCTGTGGTTATAGCAAGGAGTGATAGGTCCCTGAGGGCATCCGTGAGTGAGTCTATTTAGTGAAACCTTTTTCTGAAGTGGATGAAGGTGGCCAATTTCATGAATCTCTCCGTCAGGAAGAGGGCAGTAAGCACCAGATCATCGCAGTGGATGCTGGGGGGAAGTGGTAGCTGTCACGCTAGAGGATGCTGGGACTAGACATGGACTTTCGCACTTTTGCACTGGAGGGAAACTGGGGGCCTCGGTCTGTAGAGGAGTTGGCCCTTGAGCCTAGTCTACAAAGGGAACTTGGTGTTTGTCCCCTGCAGGGGTGGGAAGGTGACTGAGAGGAGTTAATGGAAGCGAAGCCAGGCAGGCATGAAATTGCACACTGAGTTGGGGGACTGGGACTTGTTTTGTGCAGCTGACGTTAAATGTGTGGGAGAGGTAAGCCATGAATTTATGCGACTGAGGTGATCATGGAGTCCGTTTAGGGTCTTTTAAGAGTGTAGACTTTACTTTAGGTAACAGAAAGCTTGTGTGATGATTATATTATTCCAGCTCCTAACAGAATAAAGTTTTTTGTAATGGAAACGTTTGAGGGTTTAATGAGCCCTGGTGAAGAGCCGAAACAGTCTAGGGGCTCCTGAGGGTGTAGCACAGGGGTGGGAAGGAAGGCATGAATGGGTAAAGCCCTAACCTGGTGGCCTAGTGGTATTTGATTGTCAAGAGAAGAAGGTTCTCTGTTGAGTATCAGAGTGGACACTCAATTGGAACGGCAACCTAAAGAGCAATAACGATATAGACATTCATAGCAGACGTTTCACAGAGTTTGTTACATGCTGTTTAAATGCCATTTCAGACACCACATTAAAGCGAGTAGAGAAGAGTGAGGCGGGGCGGGGGGAGGGGGAGTTAAAAAGTGACCTCCATGCATTTGCCTAAGACGCCCACACATTTCTTTGCGGTGGAGACTGGTTCTGGCAGCTGGAGTGCTCTTACATTTCTCTCTCTTCCTGTTTTCTGTTAACCACTGCCCTCCCCAGAAGTGACGCTGCTCTGGAGGAGGCAGTAACAGAGGTGCTGGACCATCGACCAATTGAGCAGAAATACTGTCCTCCCTGTCATGTTTCAGTTGAGCTGGTGGGATCCTGTGCTACCCTGGTGGCAGAGAGAATCCTCCAGGGGGCGCCAGAGATCTTGGACAGACAAACTGCCTCCCTATTGCACGGTAAGGGATCAGTTTTGGATTAGGACCTGATTGGGTCCTTTGTACCCTTCCCACACAGGGAGCGGGGAAAGTCTAGCCGCTTGCAGCCTTACTTGTAACTGTGTGCCCTAGAAGCCATCCGCTTATCACAGAGGGCAAGGGTTTGCTCGCAGTAATTGGGCATTTTTCTCACTGCCTGGGGATCTGTGTTGGAGACCGCAGAAAGGAAACACAAAGCAGCTGACCTTGGCGGTTCCCTCTGGCAGCTCTGTCTAATAGGAGGACTCACTGAAGAAACAGGAAACAGGCTCAGCTGTCAGTCCCACCAGGACGTGGTTGTATGTCTGAGCAACTCTCCTCTCGTTTTTCCACGGGTTGTGTATGTGCTGAGACTAATTAGATTGTCCGAGGCAGTCTCTTCCAGTGGTAATAGCCTTGATATCTGTGATGGAAGACAAAATCCAAACACAGAGGGAAGTAGACACAAAGCCATCTGTAGCCAAGAAGCTATTTGAAATTCATAGCTACTGAGAGGGGAACCCAGTCTTCTGTAGAGTGACTTTAGGTATTATCCAACACTCTTCAGGGTAGGCTCCATTCTTAGGAATATTTAGCCAACCAAAACCCTGGGGTTTTTGCTTTTAAATTTTTGTCTTTTAAATTTTTTTAAAAATTTTTATGTGGACATGTGCTTTGCCTGCATGTAGGTCTGTGCACTACATGTATGCCTGGTGCCCTCAGACACCAGAAGAGTGTCATTGTTGTGAACTGCCATGTGGCTGCTGGGAATTGAACTTGAGTCCTCTGGAAGAGCAGCTAATGCTCTTACTGAGCCATCTCTCTCTCCAGCCCCTACCTGCTTATTTGAGAGAGAGAAAGAACATGCAGTCGGGTGGGTGGGGAGGTGGAAGCAGAGCTGGGGAAGGAAAAAGAATATGAAAGTTTCAAAGAATAAATAAAAACTGTAAAAAAAGAAAATTCTGTGATGGAATTTGACTTACTGAGGAGCCGGATTCCCCTGAGGTTGTGAAATCCACAAGGCCCAGGCTTCTTTTTTTTTTTTTTAAAGATTTATTTATTTATTATGTATACAGTATTCTGCTTACATTCATGCTTGCAGGCCCGAAGAGGGCACCAGACCTCATTACAGATTGTTGTGAGCCACCATGTGGTTGCTGGAAATTGAACTCAGGACCTTTGGACGAGCAGGCAATGCTCTTAACCACTGAGCCATCTCTCCAGCCCGCCCAGGCTTCTTTTTATTTTATTTATTTACTTTTATATGTTTGTGTGATTTGTCTGCATATATATCTGCATAATGTGCATGCCTGATGCCTAAGGAGGCCAGAAGAGGGCTTCAGAGCTCCTGAGCCTGGAGTGTCAGTTGTAAACTGCCGTGTTGGTTCTGGGACTCAAACCTGGGTCGTCTGTAAGAGGAACCAGTGCTCTTCGCCACTGAGCATCTCTCCAGGCGCAGGCTTCCTGTCCCCTTCCCATGTTCTTCATTGTGCTTCATGCTGGGAGTTCTCACTTAGGACACGGTCAGTCCAAGTGTATTGCTTGTCCTCATGGTTTGCCCTGGCTGTACTCTCTAGATTGTGTCCACTGGGTTTGGAATTCTGTGCGTGCCAGTGGTTGTGAGTGGAGGGCTCACTCACGGGACTCTGTTCCTCCATATCCCTTCATAGGTACCATCATTCTGGACTGTGTCAACATGGATGCAAAAATTGGAAAGGCAACCCTAAAGGACAGCAAATATGTAGAGGAGCTGGAGGCCCTCTTCCCAGATCTTCCCCAGAGAAAGGACATCTTTGATTCTCTGCAAAAGGCAAAGTTTGACATCTCGGGTATGATGGATTTCCCACATGAGAAAGTCAGTGGGCAAGCTTTGAACATCGCATCTGGAAGGGTGTCAGAACGATGTCAGAGCGTTACAATGGTTTACTCTGCACACCAGAGAGAAGTAAGGGGCATCCATGGCTGCTCATGAACGATCAGTCATCTGTTAGGTCATTCCGTCCTGAGTTTGGAAGAGATGAAAAGAGCTGGGGATGGTAGCCCGTGCTATCCTCCCAGCATTGGTGAAGCCAAGGTGGGAATACAGAAAATTCAGGGCAACCTGCGCGCGCTACTTAATGAGTTGACGGACAGCATGGTTTATATAAGGAGACCCTATCTCAAAAAGTGAAAGCTACATAGAAAACCCTGTCTTGAAAAAAAAATAAAATAAAAGGGATTTTTAAAAAATCCAAGACTAGCTGAGAAGTGGCACTTAAGAGATGGAGGCAGGTGGATCTCTGTGAGTTCGAGACCAGCTTGGTCTACAGAGTAAGTTTCAGGACAGCCAGGGCTACACACAGAAAACTATGTCTTGAAAAATCACAAATAAATAAACAAACAGACAAATATATAAATAAATTTAGTCCTAAGGCTATATGCATAGCCCAAATGGGACTTGATGGATATGAAAAGGGAAAAGAAGGAAGTAGGTGGTCAGGAAGGCAGGTGGGCCTGGGGATACTGGGAGGGTAACTATGATCAACATATTATATGAAATTCTCAAAGAATAAAAAAATTGTAGAGTCCCAGTCTAATCTGAGAATGTAGGCCATAAGTAACATATATGGGGGTAAGCTATCAGAGCAGGAGCCGTGTGACTGGAGAAAGAAGAAAACAATTCAGTGTATGTCCAAAGGACAAAGAGAACCAACAACTCCCATAATCTACCTGTTGGCGTAAGAAAAGCAAAAGAAAGAAGCAGAAATGTGACAACGTACTTTTAGGAAGTTAAAAGAACACAGAAAGAAAGAAAACCCCAGGGCTGAGGACGTAGCCAAAGAGCAGGCCCTGCCCAGCATGCACAAGGGCCCAGCTGTGACCCCCAGCAAAACTAATCCATAAAGAGTAGGGGGGGCGGGAGGAGGCTGGGAAGAGGTAAAGCTCGCTTGTGTTGGTTCTGGGTTTTCGTTTGCTTGTTTTCGAGGTGTTGTGTTTGTTTTAATGACGTGGTCTCACTGTGTAGCCCTAGCTAACCTGAAACTCACAGTATAGACCTAGCTAGTCTCAAACTCGTGATCCTCCTGCCTTTTCCTCCATAGCCCTGGGATAACAGGTGTGCACACCACACCCAGTAAACCGCCTCTTCTTTGCCCCTTCTACAAAGTCCCTGACTCTAAAGGTGACCATTCAACTCTTCTGACCTGATTGTTACCTGATTGTTACCATCTTTTAAGTTTTTTATTTTTTATGTATGGATGTTTGCCTGCCTGTGTGTCTGTGCACTGTGTGCATGTCTGGTACCCTCAGAAGATAGAGGAGAGGGCATCAGATCCCCTGGAACTACAGTTACTCAGTTTTGAACTGCCATGTGGGTGCTGGGAATTGAACCCTGGCCCTCTGGATATTTGCTCTTAACTGCTGAGCCATCTCTCCAGCCTGTGACCTGATTAGTCAAGTGGTTCCTTATATAATTACATCTTCACTTATTGCTCCTGTTCATTGGCCCTAGGGGAAACTACTTTCCCATTTTCCTTGTCTTCCCCTTTGTGGTGTTGGGTCACATCCCCTCTCTGACTCCTAATTTCCCGTCTATTTTCTAGGCCTGACAACTGAGCAGATGCTCAGAAAAGATCAGAAGACAATTTACAGACAAGGCACCAAGGTGACCATCAGTGCAATCTACATGGATTTGGAGGTAAGAGCCAACCGCCAGTGTGAACGTGAAGGGAACATCGTTTTTCATCCATGAGACTTTGCCCTTCATTCCTGCCCACTGTGGGCTACCTTGGTACCTCTCCACTTGTCTCAGTGTCCTCTGGGATTCTCCACAGCCCATCACCCCTCACTGTGCTGCTGTAATAGCCTGGGTACTGGTTTCTCTGCACCCACCTCAGTTTTGCATCCCTACAAAACATTTTCCATATAATCAGTGATTTTGTATATATGTATTTTTTAAGGATTTATTTATTTATTATGTATACAGTGTTCTGTCTGTTTGTATATTTTCTGGCCAGAAGAGGACACCAGATCTCATTACAGATGGCTGTGAGCTACCATGTGGTTGCTGGGAATTGAACTCTGGACCTCTGGAAGAGCAGTCAGTGCTCTTAACCTCTGAGCCATCTCTCCAGCCCTATATATGTATTTTTTTTAAAAATATTTTAACAGGGCTAGAGAGTTGTTTCAGTGGTTAAAGGCATTTGTTCACTTTTACAGAGGACTTGAGTTAAGTTCTCAGCACCCATAGTGGTTTACAATGATTTGTAACTTTAATTCCGGGGACTCTTATGCTCTCTTCAGACATCTATGGGCCCCAGACACACACATAGTACACTTAATATAATGTAGGCAAAACACCACTCATACACATAAAGTAATCTAAAACATAAATGTGTATATATATTCTAGCCATTAACAGCTGAGCCATATCTCCAGCCCTTTCAAAATATTTTTAAAATTACATTTATGCCAGGCATGGTGCCACATGCCTTAAACCTCTACACTCTGGAGTCTCAGAGGTAGGCAGATCTCTGACTTTCAAGCCAGGTAGGGCTACAGAGTGAGACCCTTTTTCAAAACAAAACAGTATTGGTGTTTGTGAGAGTGTGTGAAGGTCAGAGGACAACAAGCAAGAGTCAGTTCTTTGCTTCTACTGTGTAGATTCCAGGGGTTGAACTCAGGTTGGCAGCAAGTGCCTTTACCCACTGAGCCATCTCCTTGGCCCTGTTCATGTGGTTTTCAAGACAGGCTGGCATGGAACTGTGTAGTCTAGACTGGTATTGAATTCAGAACAGGCTTCCTGCCCCTGTGTAGACAGAGGTGGCTCAGGCATGTTTCTAGCTAGCTCTGATATCTTAAATTAACCCATTTCTGTTAATCTGTGTCGCCATGAGGCTGTGGTTCACCAGTAAGGTTTGGTGTCTTTCTCCTTCTGTAGCTACATGGCGTCTCCCTGACTCTGCCTACTCTCTCTATATATCTCTGTTTGGATTTCCTGCCTGGCTTTATTCTGCTAAGCCATTGGCTGAAACAGCTTTATTCATCAACCAATAAAAGCAACACATACAGAAGGACATCACACATTATTCCTGCTTCTAAGAGCTAGGATTACAGTCTTGAGTTACCATAGCCAACTGTAGAATGATCCTCAACAAGTAAGAGCCATCACTGCTCTTATAAAGGACCAAGGTTTAGTCCATGTCAGGCAGTTTATAACTATTTATAAGTTCTAGAGACTCCTATGCTGTCTGGCCTCTGTAAGTATCTTCTCTCACATAGACACACTTATATATGCATAATTTTTTTATTTTAGAATGTATGTATATATGGCCTGAGAATATATATCTCAGGCTAGGTGTTTTGGCTAGTTTTATGTCAACTTGATACAAGCTATAATCATTTGTGAGGTAGGAACACCAGTGGACAAAACATCCCCCGTAAGATCGGGCTGTAGGCAAGACCATATGGTATTTTCTTAATTAGTGGTCAATGTGAGATTGATTGGTCTGTTAGTCCTGGTTCTATAAGAAAGCAGACTGAACAAAACATGTGGAGTTAGCCGGTAAGCAGCACCCCTCCGTGGCCTCTGCATCAGGTTCCTGCCCCATTTTAGTTCCTGTCCTGACTTCCTTCAGTGATGGACTAAGATGTGGAAATATAAGCCAAATAAACCCTTTCTTCCTTGAGCCACTCTTGGTCATGATGTTTCCTTACAGTGATAGTAACCCTAACTAGAATACCAGGTATGGTGGCAAGTGCTTTTAATCCTGGTGCTTGGGAAACAGGCCAGCCAGGGTTACATAGTGGGACCCTATCTTAAATAAGTAAATAGATAAAATAATAAATGAGATCACATCCAGTCCCTCCTTGCTTTATTCTTTTTCATTGTGTTTCTTGCACAATCTAAAGGCTTCCCTGTGCCTTTATTTGACCTCTGTCCTTTACTCTGGCCTTACCTCATTCCAGCCTCGATGGTTCTGGTCTCCAAGGGCATCAGCATTCATGTGCACATACACATTTGTACTTAAAAATCAAATGAATATTTGAAAACAGTAACAACAACAATCAAGGGCTGGAGAGAGGGCTCAGTGGTTAAAAGAACTTGTTTCTTTGTAGAGGACCTGAGTTTGATTCCCAGCATGCACTTGGAGGCTCACAACCATCTGTAATTCCAGTTTCTGGAGCTGGAGAGATGACTTACTGGTTAAGAACACTGACTACTCATCCAGAGGACATGGGTTCAAATCCCAGCACCGACATGGCAGCTCATACCTGTCTGTGACTCCAAGATCTGACACCCTCACACAGACACATATGCAGGCAAAGCACCAATGCACATAAAATAAAAATAAATAAATTTAAAAAAATTACAGTTCCATGGAATCAGACATTCTCTTCTGACCTCTGTGGACACTACCAAGTATACACATAGTACAAGTACATACACCCAGACCAAATGCATAAAATAAATAAATCTAAACAAAAAGTACTACAGTTCCTGTTATACAGTAGTCTCATGGGTTGGTTTGTTTTCCAATGCTGAGAGCATGCTGGGTAAATGCATTACCACTGAAACTTGATTAAGTTTTCACGCCTCTCATTCATTTATTTCAGGTATGAGGTCCCATGTGGATGACACACACAGTTTAAGAAACCATGGTATAGGGGCTGGAGAGGTGGCTCAGCGGTTAAGAGCACTGGCTGCTCTTCCAGAAGACCTGGGTTCAATTCCCAGCAACCACATGGTGGCTCACAACCATCTGTAATATTTGGTGCCCTCTTCTGGTCTGCAGGCATACATGCAGGCAGAACACTGTATCCATGATAGATAAATAAATCTTTTAAAAAAAGAAAAACCATAGCATATAGCCTAACGTGGAATCATGACAACATGAAAGGGTAGCCACGGAGCCTGGCCACTGTACAGATTGACACTTTAGAATGGCCATGTATGGGGGCTGCAGCGACGGCTCAGGAGCTCCTCAGGCTCAGTCACCAGCTCAGATCCCCAGGACACACAAAAGCTTGGCGTGGGCACACGGGCACCAGCAACTCCAGTGTCATGCAGGGAGGAGACAGAGGCTCACTGGGGCTTACTGGCCAGCAGCCTGGCTCCAGCCTCAGTAAGAGACAGGAATATGGCAAGAGTGATAGAGCAGCACACCTGATGTCCTCCTCTGGTCTCTGCGCACGCACATATACACGCATATACATGTGCATATATCATCCATGCATACTAATTGAAGAAAGGCCAAGAATTGAGAAAAGCCCGGCATTATGTATTAGAGAAAATGCTGCATGAAAAATATTTGGGTGATATAGATTAGCAAAGAGTGAGCCAAGGATGGATCACCATCCTGAAGGGAAACTAGGGCGGAACCCTGGAGACAGACTAGCTGTCTTCATGGCTTGCTCTGCCTGCTTCTTCTTATACCACGCAGGCCTTTCTGCCCAGGGTTGGCACCACCCACAGTGAGCTACGCCCTTCCCTGTCAATCATTAGTGTGAAAATGCCCCACAGGCTTGTCTACAGGCAGGTCTAAGAGAGGCATTTTCTCTTGAGGTTTTCTCTTCCCAGGTGACCCAAACTTGTTTCAAGTTTGCAAAAACTCTAACTAGCATCTGGCCGCCGCTCATGCCTTCCTTCTCTGTCACCTTCAGGCTTCATCCTTAGAACAGTTGTTTGTAAATGCTGTCTTCCTATTTTATTGAAGAAGCCTAGGCCCGGGAGGTGGGATGATTATCACTTCTTGATCTTATGCCTAAGAGGCACTGTAGTAGAGCTAATTTTTAAAACAATTCTGTCTTAATCAGAAGCCTGCATTCTCCCCGTCTGTCACAGCTCCAGCAGAAATGCTGCATACCGTTTTCGTGGTACACACGATTGAATCACATGCACAGACCTCTGTGAGGGCTTGTTAGCAAGGATGTGGTCTGGCTGTAAGCAACCCTTACTCGGTTTCATCTTTCTAGGCCTTTCTGCAGCGGCTGGACCTCCTGGAAGATCTCAGTGCTTTCTGCCATGAGCACAGCTATGATGCCTTGGTTGCCATGACTATCTTTTTCAACACTCACAATGAGCCAGTACGACAATTAGCTGTTTTCTGTCCCCACTCATCACTTCGAATGACAGTAAGTCTCCTTCCATCAATCAGAGGGTTAGTGACCAGAGTGTGCCTTTGTGTTCTATAGCTCTGTACTGTAAGACCTTGTCTCAGGCTGTGTCTTTATAGAAGGGTGTGTGTTTTATTTCTATTTTTATTTATTTATTTATTTATTTGAGATAGGGTTTTTCTGTGAAACAATCCTGGCTGTCCTGGAACCCACTCTGTAGACCACCCTGGCCTCGAACTCATAGAGATCCGCCTGCCTCTGCCTCCTGAGTGCTGGGGTTAAAGGCGTGCGCCACCACCACCTGGAATAATTTTTATTCACTATTGTGTGTTTGTGTCCATGTGAGCATGTGCTCATGTGTGTGTGTGGATGCCCATGGAAGCTAGAAGAGGTATTTAGATCCCGTGGAGCGAGAGTAACATAGCCATCCAACATGGATGCTGGAATCCAGTTGTCCTCATGATTGTGCAAGTGAAGTCTCCAACCCCTACTGTATGTAGTGTGTGTACACATGTGGGGGTCAGAGGACATCTTGCAGGATTTAGTTCACTCCTACTCTTGTAGGTCCTGGGGATCAAATTCAGAAGACCAGCCCGGGCAGCAGGTACCTTTGTCTGTTGGTCCTCACATTGTAGCCCAGGCTGCCTTTGAACTCACAGCAATTTTCCTGCCTCAGCCTCCTCAGTGCTGAATGTGAGCCCCCATGCCCAGCTACTCAGAATCTCATAGACATGGACCCAGGCCCCTTGCGTGTTTTTATCCACATGAGCTACAAAGAGTAATCGTAGTCAAACAGTTACTGAGAAAAGCACTCCCAAAGCTAGACACAACGATTCCTACTTACAAGGAGTTTAAAGCAAACTCTGGTTATAAGGAAATGTCAACCTGGACTTAAAAATTTGCTCTTAACTGGGCATGATGACCCAGGCCTGTATTCTCAGAGTTTAGGGAGAGGCTGAGGATTTAGCTCAGTGATAGAGTACTCACCTAGCCAAAGCCCTGGGTTTGATCCCCAGTACCACTCAAACAAAAACAAAAACAAGCAACCACAATAAAAAAAAAAAAAAAGCTGGGTGGCGGTGGTGCATCCCTTTAATCCCAGCTCTCAGGAGGAAGAGGCAGGCAGATCTCTTGAGTTCGAGGCCAGTCTGGTCTACAAAGTGAATTCTAGAACAAGCTCCATAGCTACACAGAGAAACCTTGTCTCCAAAACAAACAAAAAAAAACCTAAAAGAAAATCAATTCTTTTTTTCCATTGTCTTGACAATTTATGGACAGAAGGGTGTGGCCCAGGTGTGTGTGTGTGTGTGTGTGTGTTTGTGTGTGTGTGTGTGTGTGCGTGCGTGCACGCCACACTCCAGAGAAGTGCTCCAGACCAGGTCAGCTCCTTTCCTGACCTTTTCTGTTTTCTGTTGGTTACTGTTGTAAAATGACGTAAGACTCTGGGTTGCCTGTGCTGTAAATTTGCTAAGAACAGTCCGGCTAGAAGTTCTGTGCACCCAGGAGAGGTGTGTCTGCCCTTCGCTGCCACTTTTCCTTTGTTTCCTCCCCTGGTGTAGGGTAGCTGGCACTATGGAGAGAAGTAAGTTCTGTAATCAGGTAGTCGGGATTTCTGTCTTGGGTTCCTGCCCACTCGCCCTTTGAGCTAAGCCAGAGGACTAGAGTCGATGACTCAAGTACGTGTCATCACTGCACAGTCTGCCGTGGCCATCGGCGTAAAGTGCGTTCTGAGGCAGAGTCCATGCTCGTGTGACTCTTACAACCATGCTAAGGGCTGGTCCTTTGGCTATAAGAAAGTATCCTCCGTCTTCCGGAGCCTAGTCCCCTCCGCCATTCTGATGACAGTAGCTACCCATGCTCTTTGTGCTGGGAGATGGGATCCTTTTTACTGTCTACTTTGCCATCTCCTCCCTTCCTCCTTCCTAGGTAAGACATGTAGAACACTACTTTTGGTGACAGTCCTGAGTTCCAATGTCAGTTTTGCCTCATATAAACTGTGACTTATTCTATGTACACATCAGTTACCATAAGTGAATGTAGTCGCTGTGCCAATATCATGAAATATTTGTAAACATCCAGACTGGCAGCATGTCTGGCCTGTCCCGCACCCTCAGTTTGTCCTGTTTGTTCAGCTTTAGTCCTAAGATCTCTGTGGGTGCCAGTCCTGTCCTGGCTAAAGAGAAAGCATGGATATATACACGGAACCCGCTTGAGCATGGATATATACATGGAGCCCACATTATCTTAAGCACAGGGATCCTGGGATCTGTTTCAGATTCTGCCATTATTCATATGATTTCACTCAAGAAAACCTCTGAGCCAGGGGTGGGAGAGTTGGGAGGTTTGTGGACACCTTTAATCCAAGCACTCGGGAGGCAGAGGCAAGCAGATCTCTGTGACTTCGAGGCCAGCCTGGTCTACAGAGCGAGTTCCAGGACAGCCAGGGCTATATAAAGAAATCCTGTCGAGAGAGAGGGAGAGAGACAGGAAGAGAGAGAGAGGGAGAAAGTGGGGGAGAGGGAGAGGGAGAGAAACAGGGAGAGAGACAGAGAGAGAGAGAGAGAGAGAGAGACAGAGAGGGAGAGGGAGAGAGACAGGGAGAGAAAACCTCTGTGTACTTTGATTTCAAATATGTCATCTAAATAAATGTTCCAGCCATGCTGTGTGTCTTATATTATCAGCACATGGGAAGCTGAGGCAGGGGCATTACAATGCATTCAAGGCCAGCCTAGGCTACTTAGTAAGTTCCGGGGTAGCAGTATGTGTTAAGACCTTACTGCTTAAAAAGAAAGGAAGGAAGGAAGGAAGGAAAAAAAGAAAAAGGGAGGTGGTCTGGGAATATAAATCATCTGCAGCTTGCTTGCTGGATGCTTGAAGTCCTGGATTTGATCCCAGGCACCTCAGTTTGGGGTGCTGGCACACGGGTAACCTCTGCACTGAGATGGCAGAGGTGGGTGGATCTGTGTGTGTTTCAGGCCAGCCAGGGCTACATGGTGAGACCCTATATCAGCAAACACACAAAATCCTTTTCCCTCTGTCAGAAACCTCAGCTCTCTGCTGCGCCACATTTAGTACCAGCCCTGTTCTTGTCCCCTGCAGATCTGTGGAGTCTTGGAACAGTCCACCTCCCCAGCCTTGAGGCTGACCCCGATCCCGAGCCGCTCCCCTGACCTCCAGGCCTACCTCCAAGGCAACACCCAGGTCTCTCGCAAGAAACTGCTGCCTGTGCTCCAGGACGCCCTCTCCGCCTACTTTGACTCAAGGAAGATGCCGCCAGGGCAGCCTGAGGTAGTGGGAATGTCCTCCAGGGAGCAGGCGGACAAGGAACTGGACAGGGCAGGTAACTCCCTGATTTCTGGACTGAGTCAGGATGACGAGGACCCTCCGCTGCCCCCCACGCCCATGAACAGCTTGGTGGATGAGTGCCCTCTGGATCAGGGGCTGCCTAAGCTGTCAGCCGAGGCTGTCTTTGAGAAGTGCAGCCAGATCTCGCTGTCCCAGTCAGCCAGAGTCTCCCCAGCAAAGAAATGACTGTTGGGAGGGGTGGGGAGAGTGGAGGAGGTGGCTGCCCACCTCAAGTGCATGTTTGGAGATGTCTGACCATTTCAGCGTCTGTTGCTCCAGGATCTGGTGTACTGTTCTGAAGCTGGGAGGGAAGGAAGCAGCTGCTCTAAGAATGGCTTCCTGCCTCTCCCAGCCGGTATCTACCAGTCAGACAAGTTTGATTATTTTATTATTTAATCTGCACTGATTTTTCTGTTCGAATTTTGATGGGTGTGGTGTGATATGACCACTGTCCTAGCAGAGCAGGACTGAAGGAATGTAGACCCCATCTCCGTGTCTTCAGAAGGCCATGGGCAGAGGCCGTATCGGTCATGAAACCAACTTCATGTCTTCATGAATTCTCCATTTCATTTTTTTAAAGTTCTTTTTGAGACAGAGACTCGTGTAGCCCAGACTGGCCTTGAACTTTGTATGTGTCTGAGGCGAGTCTTGAACTCCTAATCCTCCTGAGTGGAATTGTAGTCACGTATAGCCATACCTGACTAGTCTCTCGGGGTTTTTTTTGGGGGGGGGGTGCTTTTTTGTTTTTTTTTTTTTTTATTGTTGTTGTTGTTTTTTGAGACAGGGTTTCTTTGTGTAGCTTTGGAGCCTGACCTGGAACTCACTATGTAGACCAGGCTGGCTTCAAATTCAGAGATTCGCCTGCCTCTGCCTCCCGAGTACTGGGATTAAAGTCGTGTGCCACCACTGCCAGCCTTGTCTGTCATCTTGCACATGTGGCTGGACTTCCTATTTCTTTGTCTGCTTCTGTCCCAGGGTCACAGGAAGCCTGAGGAGACCCTGAGCATCAGAGGTTCTTGGCTTCATGGAGCACCCAGGAAGGCTGTTGGTACCTTGTGGGCATTTGGTTTTTTTGTTTTTTTTTTGCTAGGAGGGCAGAACTTGATTGGGCCATGGACGTCTCCTGCCTCAGTGGCTCTGGCAGATTCTCGTCTGTCTTTTCTGGTGTTGCTCATGTTAAAGGAAGCATGGGTGGGTCTTCTGGTGTACATTTCACTGCTGTGGGTCTCATTTCCCCGTCTGTAAATGAGGGTTAGGAGTAGATGTATCCTGTGACCTGCCCCCTTTTTCTGTCACCCTTTTCCTCCTCTACGTCTTTGTATTTTTCCTCGTCTTCCCTGGGAGTGCTCAGGATCACTGGATTGTGTGTGTTTATTTGTGATTGTACCAAGGGACTTAGCCTCATGTAGCATGTACAGGGATACATCATGACCCAGGAGCGAGCTCTCTCCCACTGACTGGTCTGCATGTGTCGTCTCTCCCTCTCCCCGCTTTTTTTTCAACCAGCCTTTTCCCCCTGTTCTTACCCCATTTAAATTGCAAACAATATTGATGAACTGTAGGATGTGATGGTTTGGGGCAGTCTGACTTCACTTTAGGGTATGATGTCTGTAGCCATTGGGAACGTGAAATACTGGTGCGATCACTGAACCAAAGGGATTGTGTCCTGTGACTTTGGTACTTTGTTTTGCATTTTTGTTTTGTATTAAATACTTTCTTCCTGTTTGAAGTCTTGTCTCTTTTTGTAATCGGGCCTTCCCTGATAGTTGCTACACCTCTGACAAACTCCTTTCTCTCTCCTGCTTTGTTGACTCAGCTGGAGCGCTCGCCGTTCACCCTCAACCTTCCCTCGATTCCTGTTACATAGCTGTGCTTAAAATATTCAGTCATGGTCTCAGGTTGGTTTTGTTGGTTTTTTTGAGACAGGGTTTCTCTGTGTATCCCTGAATGTTCTTGAACTCGCTCTGTAGACCAGGCTGGCCTGAACAGAGCTGCCTGCCTCTGCCATCCTAGTACTGAGATTAAAAGCGTGTGCCACCATGACCTGGCCTGTTTTGTTTTTTTGAAACACTCTCCCAAACTGCCCTTGCTTATTAAACAACTGGAGCTAACCTCTAAGGCTTATTTAGCAATCCTCCTGCGGAGGCCTCCCCTTGCTGAGCTGCGATGTGAGATGCCCAACTTGCCTTCTCTTTTCCTCATGCTGGGAAAGCAGGTCCAAGATGGACTTACAGCAAGCAGAATGGTTCCTAGCCTGTGTGTGTGTGTGTGTGTGTGTGTGTGTGTGTTTCTGGTGATTGAACCTAGGGCCTCATGTTCTGCTGCTGTCCTCTTTTTAATGGTTGCTGCCTTTGAAGCTAGGGCTGTCCTACTCAACAGCCGCAGCTCGGCCGCTACCCGTGGCCAGGCTGCAAGTAGCGCAGCCTGAGGAAATTCTGTTCCTCTGGTATCGACTCTTTCAAAGAGAACTTATCTAAGTCCCTGTTCCCCCTAAAGAACTCTAATTCAAAAGTTGTGGTGTCCCCCTTATAAACCCTTCTCCACCTGATTCCTCCCTGCTACTTTCTGTCAGCTAATTGCTGGCTCAGCCTCCAGACTACAGGTGAATTTTATTTAGTCAAACATATCTTTGCATCATTAAACAAGTGTCCCGAGCATAAATAAAAATAGCACACCTTAAAACAATAGTCTACAACATTCTACCACTGACCAGTTTTAACTTTGTGAAACAGGGTCTCTCTAAATTGCCCAGGCTGGCTTTGAACTTGCAGTCCTGCCTCAGCCTCCTGAGTAGCAGAGATTACAAACCCTCACCAGGACCTGCTTTTTAAGATGATGTGGACAAAGGCACTCAGTGCCAAGATGACCAACTGAAGCTGATCCTTAGGTGGAAGGAGAGGACCAGTCTCACAAGATGGCGTGCACACACAAACACTAAATCATATTTTAAAAGTAAAACCAACCAGGCAGTGTTGGCACACACCTTTAATCCCCGCACTTGAGAGGCAGAGGCAGACAGATCTCTGTGATTTCGAGACCAGCCGGGTCTACAAGAGCTAGTTCCAGGACAGGATCCAAAGCCACAGAGAACCCCTCTGGTGGGGGGGAGGGTGAGGAGTAAAAGTAAAACCTAGCTCCTAAAGAACTGAGGCAGAAAGATCACCACACTTTCCCTCATACTGTTTGAATGTAAGACACTGAAAAATAAAGGTTTGGGGAGCTGGCTTAACAGATAGGCATTTATTCAAGCAAGAGGACCCAGGTTCAGATCTCCAGAACACGCAAAGTCTGGGCAGGTGGTGCATCCAGCTCTTGGGGAATTGCTGGGGTAAAGCGGACTAGCTAAAGCTAGAAGAATCAATCAGTGAGCTCTGGATTCAATTGCATAGCCCGGCCTCAGATGTTCTGAAAAGAATTCTTACCCATCGTTAGCTTCAGGCTTCCCCAGGAATGCAAAAACATAAAATTATCTTTTAACACCCCCATCCCCCCCAAAAAAAAAGAGCAAAACAAGGGACTTCCAGATTATGAAGGACTGGACTGGAGAACAACAAACGGCCACCCTAGAGATCTCACTATCCGCCTGAAAGCCCGCCCCCACACAGAGGCTGGGCTTTTGGGCAGACCTGCTCCTTGGGAGGGGAGGTGGCAAAACCTGTTTGAAGATGAGGTTGCCTCCCTTCCACACCTCCTTAGAGGCCAGAGCAACAACTGAAACAGAAAAGGAAAGAGTGGTGAGGGCTGGGATCGCAGCCTCCTACCCCTCATACAGTGTTCAAGGAATACAGGACGACGTGGAAGATGGGGACTGTCCAGGAAACGGGGAAAATGGCATTAGGAGGAGGAGGGTGAGTAAGGGCTTGCCCTGACTGCAGGCTGAGAGGGTGGTTCCAACCAGTCAAGGCTTCCCGGATTCCTCAAAGAAGAGCAGGAAGAGGAGAGACAGGGTGGTTTGAGGCAGGAAAGTATTACAGAATGGAACAATTCCCCAGTTGAAAGTTCCTATCTTACATCTGATAGACCACCTTTCTCTTTCTTATCAAAACCCCACTCTCTAGAATGGAAATCTGGTCCAGAGCTGAATTTTTTCTTTGTTTTTTTGTTTTGTTTTGCTTTTCTTCAAGACAGGGTTTCTCTGTAGCTTTGGAGCCTGTCTTGGAACTCACTCTGTAGACCAGGCTGGCCTCGAACTCACAGAGATCTGCCTGCCTCTGCCTCCCGAGTGCTGGTATTAAAAAGGCTTGTGCCACCACCGCCTGGCCAGAACTGAATTTATACCTGGGTTCTGCTTCCCAGTGAATCCGTCCTTCCTCCCTGTCTTTAGATGTGCCTTATTTTCCCGGCACAGTGGAGGAAAGGCGGGGCTGACCAGATGTCATCTCCCCGTGCTTTCCTCAGGGTTAACTGGCCAGTTGTCTGGGCTCCAGCCAATTGTAGTGTGGGACGCCTTCCGTGCCCACACTGCATGCAGGTGGAGTCACTACCACAGAGGCGAAGGGATTGCCTGATGGCCTTGCCTCTCTGCTAAACTCATCCGTAGGTGGTTTGATTCAGCCGAGTGGAAAAGGTAGATTATCTGTACACAGAGACGAGTGTCCTCTGTGACGCGTCCTTCTCGCTAGTGTCTGCCGCCTGCTGTCTGGCTCCCGTAGGATACTATATAGGTTGTCTCATGATCTTTTCTTCTTGGGGGGCGGGGGCTGATGTCAGGGTTGGGGAGAAGGCAGGAGCCGCAGAGTCAGCAGCAGCCCTGAGACTTGGCGAGCTGGAGCTGAGGGAAGAATGGCAAGACGAGGAGTTTCCCAGGTAAGGGGAGAGCCTCTTGCCCTCCTGTGGCTCTTCCAGAGGACCCAGATTTGATTCTCAGAACCCACATAATGACCCACGACAATTCTTTACTCTAGTCCCAGGGGATCTGACACCTTCTGGGCTCCAAGGGCACTGGGCACGTGTGTGGTGCACAGATAAACATGTAGGCAAAACACGTATGCACAGAACAAAATCTTTAGGGGAGGGGAAGAGGCAGGAAAGAAAACAGCCATGGTGGAGCGAGAAAGCTGACACCTGCTAGGTGCTTGTGTCTAAGTCTCTGTTCCATCCCTATGTGCTAGATTGCTTCCTGAGGAGGCTGGCTCAGCTGGAGATCCCGAGGACCCTCAGAGAGACTCACAGGCCGGTAGGGAAAGGCGAGTGGGAACTAGACCTCGAGTTTGACTCCACTCCTGGGGCTGTTTTGTTTTTTGTTTTTGGCGTTTTGTTTTGTTGGTTTTTCGAGACAGGGTTTCCCTGTGAATAGTACTGGCAATCCTGGAACTCACAGAGATCCGCCTACCTTGCCTCCTAGTGCTGGGATTAAAGGTGTGCACCGCCACCACCCGGCTTCTGAGGCTGTTTTTTGGCAAGAATCTTTAGTGTGTAGCTTCTGTCCTTTGCAGTTCACTTTCTCCTTTCCTCTTGCCCTGTGTCTCCTCTCTGTCTCAAATTCACAGGTATTATCCTTTTTGTTGTTTTTTGGTTTTTCGAGACAGGGTCTCTCTGTCTAGACTTGGCTGCCCTGGAACTCACTCTGTAGACCAGGCTGGCCTTGAACTCACAGAGATCTGCCTGCCTCTGCCTCCTGAGTGCTGGGATTAAAAGCATGTGCCACTACTGCTTAGCTGGTATTAGCCCCTTTAAAATTTTATTTTAGGTGTTTTTTGTTACTGTTGTTTTGTCTGTTTGAAACAGTGTCTCCCTATGTAACCCTAACTAGCCTGGAACTCATTTGTAGACTAGACTGGCTTTGAACTCAGAGATCTGCCTGTCTCTGCCTTCTGGGCACTGGGATTAAAGGTGTGAGCCACCATGCCTGAGGTATTTTTTGACAGTCTCAACTCTGTAGCCCATGTGTAGTCTAAACTGGCTTCAAATTGGCAGCTACCAGGGCCAGAGAGATGGCTCAGTTAAAAGTACTGACTGCTCTTCCATTTGATTCCCAGAATCCACGTGGTGGCTCACAATCGGGGGATCTGACACCCCTCTCTGGGCTCTGAGAGCAGCAGGTATACATGTAGTATACAGACAAACATGCATGAGAAATACCCACACACATAGAAAGAAACAAACAGACCGAACTTGCAGCATCCTCCTGCCCGTGCCTGCCAGTGCTGTAGCTGCAGATGTGAGCTACCACTCCTGGTTTCATGACTTCTGTATGTGGAAGTCCTTGTGTGTTCATTTGTGTGTTTTGACGTAGAGACTCACGTAGCCCAGGCTGCTCTCTATCTTGATTTGTAGTCAAAACGGCCTTTAACTTCCGATCCTCTTGTCTCTTTTAATGCTGGGATCACAGGCATTGGCTCCATCCCACACAGGGCTGTTGAATCACCATCAGCTGGCACGGGTTTTCCATTTGGGTGTTTTTCCCCTCCTGTCTTCCAGCCACAGGTACCCCCAGCACGCTGGCCCTGTGTGGCCAGCGTCCTATGCGGAAGCGTCTCTCTGCCCCAGAATTGCAGCTGAATCTGACTGAGGGAAGAGGAAAAACCGGAGCTTCTCCCACCCATTCCGAATCTTCCTCTTCGGATGGCAGCTTAGACCTGGAGGTGGATGAACTGGAGACGCCGTCTGACTCCGAGCACCTTGACAGTGGACATGAATTTGAATGGGAAGGTAGGCGCAAGCCCAAGGGGGGGCAGACAGAAAATGTAGGGCGGGGTGAAGGGATGGGATGTTAGGATAGTAAGCAGGGGCTGAAGTGATGGCTCAGTGGTTGAGAGCACTGGTTGCTCTTCCAGAGGACCTAGGTTTGAGTCCCAGCACCCACATGACAGTGTCTACAGTCCCAGAGAATCTGCTGTCCTCTTCTGACCTCCAAGGGCACCAGGCATGCATGTGGTGCATATACATACTTGCAGACAAAACATCCATACACATAAAATAATGAATAATTCCAAAATCCCAGTATAGTAGCTTAGTGGACAGACCAGAAACATTTCCTCAGAAAGGAAAGGAACAGCTTCCAGAACAGACAGGCTATCAGCCAAGGGCTAGAAGGGGAAATTTGTTAAGAAAAAGACCTAAGGTTGACATGGTGGTTCAAGCCTTTAATCCCAGCTCTTGGGAAACAGAGGCAGGTAGAGCTCTGAGTTTGAGGCCAATCTGGGACACATAGTGATACCTTGTCTCAAAAATAAGCAAAAAAGCAAACAGACTAAAGAAGAAAAATATTGAAGTTAAAAAAAAAAAACAAAAAAAGGGGACTGGAGAGTGGTAAGAACATTGCCTGTTAAGAGCATTGCCTGCTCTTCCAAAGGTCCTGAGTTCAATTCCCGGCAACCACATGGTGGCTCACAACCATCTGTAATGAGGTCTAGTGCCCTCTTCTGGCCTGCAGACATACACACAGACAGAATATTGTATACATAATAAATAAATATATTAAAAAAAAAAAGAACCAGGTAGTGGTGGTGCACTCCTTTAATCCCAGCACTTGGGAGGCAGAGGCAGGCGGATCTCTGTGAGTTCAAGCCCAGCCTGGCCTACAGAACGAGTTCCAGGACAACCAGAGCTACACAGAGACACCCTGTCTCAATAAGTGAATGAATGAATGAGTAAATAAATACATCATCCTAGCACCTAGAAAGGTGAGGCAGAAGAATCATGATTTGGAGACTAGCCTGAGTCACTCAGTGGGACCTTCTCTCAGAAACTCAAACAACAAAAATTTGAGGAGCAACTCCAGCAAACCAGGAAGTTACAAGAAATCTGCCTTGTGCATCCCCCCCCCAACACTGTGTTTTAGATGATTTGCCTCGGGCTGAAGGCCTGGGGGCCAGTGAGGCAGCTGAGAGGCTGGGCCGGGGTTGTGTGTGGGATGTGGCTGGAGAAGACGGCCATCGCTGGAGAGTGTTCCGGACAGGACAGCGAGAGCAGCGAGTGGACATGACCGTCATTGAGCCCTATAGGAAAGTGCTGTCTCACGGAGGTAATGACAGAGGCATGAAAACTATGGCACTGCGGGCCAGTGAGTCAAGGTGCTTGCCATGCGTGCTTGCAACCTGGATCTGATCCCCAGAACCCATGGAGAGGTACAAGGAGAACGAACCCCGCTAAAGTTGTCCTCTGACCCCCACACGGACCCATCCATCCAGGTACACAATAATAATAAATGAAAACATCAGCTGTGGCAACAGCTGTACTGAGAGATGGCTCAGCAGGTAAGAGGTCTTGTTGCTCCCGCAAAGCAGCTGGACTTCCCAGCAATCACATGACAGCTCACAACTGCCAGTAACTCCAGTTCCAGGTGCTCTCACAAGCGCTTCCCTTCCCCATAGTGCACATACATGCATGCAGGCAACACACTCATACACAAAATAAACACACACACAAAGAAACCTCTGGCAGCTTGACTAATGATCCATAGCTGGAGACTCAGTTGTTAGGTTTAGCATCCTTCCTGACTTCCCAAGACGCAGTATCCTAAGTAGAAGTACTCTCTATTTACAGATTTATAACCAGGTGAATTTTTCTCATATTGGCCCCCAGGTTACCATGGTGATGGCCTCAATGCTGTCATTCTCTTTGCTTCCTGCTATCTACCCCCAAGCAGCGTTCCCAACTACACCTATGTCATGGAACACTTGTTCAGGTGAGGTGGAAACCCGAAAAGGCTTGTGAAGGAGACTAAGGGAGGAGAGTGGCAAAGACCCCTGTCCAAAACCAGTAGCTGACAAGGGAATCGCTACAGTCCTGTGTCTGAGCCCCCAAACACACAGCATCCACCTCTGCTACAACGTTGTCCCCAGGTATATGGTGGGAACTCTGGAACTGCTGGTAGCTGAAAATTATCTGCTCGTTCACTTGAGTGGAGGCACACGCAGGTCCCAGGTACCGCCTCTGAGCTGGATACGCCAGTGTTACCGCACCTTGGACAGGAGGTGAGACCCCAGGGCAAGAGGGACACAGCTCTCAGCTATAGCACCCTCATTCTTCTATTGCTTTCTTCTTCCATTTGATCCCTTTGTTGTTTTCCCTTTTCCTTTCCCGAGAATGACTGCTTGTCCTCAAGGTCAAGGTTCCCTTGTCCCACCCAGCCTCCTGAGTCCTGGGATCACTGGCCTGGGTCACCAGGCCCTATTTCCTCCTTTCTTCGTCCTCCTACACCTCTTCTGAAGGGTCTCCTGCTGTAGCCCGCCGAGTCAGGGCCGTCTAGCCCTTAGGACTAGGTGGCTGCACTGTAGACAGGTCGCTTAGCTTTCCTGTCCCGACTCCTTGTGAATCTCCACGGCCCCGCTGCCCGTGCCCGGAGTCTCACCCCCTTTCCCAGTCTTGCCACTTCCCTTCCACATCTCCACTGCTTTCTCTTCCACTTCCTTCATCCCTGATGTGTAAATCATTCCCCTCATTGTGTTTGGTTTTTGTTTGTGTGTTTTTTGTCTTTCAAGACAGGGATTCTCTGTATAACAGTCCTGGGTGTCCTGGAATTCTCTCTGTAGACCAGGCTGGCTTCAAACTCAGAGAGATCTGCCTGCCTCTACCTCCTTTGGGATTGAAGGCACCACCACCGCCACTACCCAGCCATTTATTTATTTTTATCGGAAATAGGGTCTCATATAATTGAGGCTTACTTCGAACTCTCTATGTAGCCAAACATAACCCTGAACTCCTGGTCTTCCTGCCTCTCTGCCTCCCCAGTGCTTGCATAGCAGGTGTTATCACATGTTTGTTCTGGCCTTCTCACCCTTGTTTAATTTTCTTCTTTTTTTAAAAATATTTATTTATTTATTTAAGTATACAGTGGTCTGCCTGCATTCATGCCTACAGGCCAGAAGAGGGCACCAGATCTTATTTAGGTGGTTGTGAACCACCATGTGGTTGCTGGGATTTGAACTCAGGACGTTTGGAAGAGCAAGCAGTGCTCTTAACCACTAAGCTATCTCTTCAGTCCCTTAATTTTCTTCTTGAATTGTTTCTGTTTTTCCTCCTTGTTGGTCTTTTTCCTCCTTAAGAGCTTTGTTGTTTCTTGTTTGGAGGAGGAGTTCATTTTATTTAGGGGCTCATGTAGCCTAGGTTGGCTTGGAATTCTCAGTGTAGCCCCAGTTGTCCCTGAATTCCCGACCCCTTTGCTTCTGCCGGGGTCACAGCAGAGCGCCCAGCTCACAGGCACCACAGGTACACCCAACTTCCTCTCGGACTTTTATGTCGCTTGGGCTGCATGGTGGGAACAACGGAGAAAGGAATCTCTGTGGGCTGGAGGGAAACGAGTCGCAGAGATGGAGGCAACAGTAAAGGAACATCCCCTAAACTTAGGGGATAGAGGACTGAGTAAATTGGGGACCAGGCATAGCTGCCAGAGAAATTTGGAAGGGAGACACACCGAGGAGCCTGTGGTGTTGGAGACTAAGGCGGAACAGGGAACATATGGTCCTATTGGATTCTTTCTCAGGCTTCGGAAAAACCTTCGAGCCCTGGTGGTTGTCCACGCTACATGGTATGTGAAGGCGTTCCTGGCACTGGTTCGGCCTTTTATCAGGTACTAGTTCAAGACACAACTGTAGACATTCCTTTCTCTATTTTCACTACTGCCAGGAAGGAGGTGGTACCCTACTCTTTTTCAGCCTTTGCCATTCTGCTTGCCCCACTTCTCTGAGATCCTCCAGGGTCATTCTCCCGATACAGAACGTAATTGATTTACTCTCTCTTCAGTTCCAAGTTCACACGAAAGATCCGATTTCTGGACAGCCTTGGGGAGCTGGCTCAACTCATCTCCCTAGATCAAGTCCACATCCCTGAAGTTGTCAGACAGTGAGTCCGGCACTGAAGGGTGCTGGTTGTCCTGTTTCTTAGTGTCTCTGGGAGACAGAAAGAACTAAGACACATAGGGGGAAACCGCATACACCTAGAGAAGAAGTTAAGGACACTATTATATTTGTCAAGAACAGTGAAGGGGGCCAGGGAGATGACTTGAGCAAAGGTACTCGCCAACAAGCTTGACAACTTGAGTTTGACTTCCAGACCCTAGTGGTGGGATAAATTCACGGCATGCATGTGTGCACATTCATAAATAAATTAAACAAAGTTTTTGGAATATAAACAAAATTTAAAGACCAAATAAAAAATTATGCAAGAGACACTGAGGGGCTATCAAACAAACAAACAAATTATGACTAGGGAAGCCAGCAGCAAAGAGACAGTATCCAGTGGGGAGTTTGTCAGTGAGCAGAGAAGGAAAGCAACTCAAGCGCCCCATTTCTAGCTCCTAATTCCCCTGGCTTCTGTCCCCCCAACCCTCTGTAGGCTGGACCAGGATCTCCATGGCTCAAAAGGCACCTAACACAAAACTGGACAAGGGGCCGTAGACTCAGGCCAAGATGGTGATTGCTCTGCATGCTGGAGCTGTTAACTGTAAATCATCTCATCCTGACCCCCCAAGTTCCACTGGATCCCCACTTCTGGACACTGCCTTCAAGCTGGGATTTGAGGGTGGGAACCCTATATGTGGGGTGACTTGCATTTTGTCTTCCAAAAGGAAGACCAAGTGTGGTATTGGAAGGGCAGGGCTCTGGGTTTTAATTCTGCTTTAGCTATAAAACATGTGGGTCTCATATTCCTTCTTTGTAATCAAAACCTCTGGGATCCTTCCCAGCTGGTTGTCTTAGGAGCCTTTTGAGGGGAGGTGGAGGGAAGGTGAGGGTTTAACCAACAACCACAGCCCGCCTGTCTGCTGGGAGCCCAGGAGCCTGCTTGCAGACTCTTGAAGAGCCAACCCTCTGCTCCTGTGATCCTGGGAAGAATTGCTGCCAAATCTGGCGTTTTCACCCTTGTTAGTAAATTCAGACCTGTGGCCTTTAATAAACTGTGATGAGAAATTTAAGTCGAACAAGTTTCCTCCGAGTTCTTACATCATAATCCACCTTTCGGTTCTGGCACAGAATTCTTGCTCACTAGAGTTCCTCGTGATTTTTTAGCTCAGCCCCTGGGGCTGCTGGCCCTGCGCAGGAAGAGCACTTAGTGGAGGGGCGGGGCGTGGCACGCGCCTTGGAGCACCCTCTCGGTCGGTTCACAGGACCTCGAGACCTGGAGGGTTGGTGGAGAGTGGAAGGGAGGGAGAGAAGGTAGGCGCCTGGGCCCACCTCTCGACCCAAGCCTCCCAGCCCCATGGTCCCCGCCGCCTGCATGCTGCTCTGGGCCCTGCTGCTTAGTTTGGGGCTCCGGGCGGCGGGGGCCCAAGACCAGACGTCAAACCCAACGTCAAACCCGACCTCAAACCAAACCTCAAACCCAACCTCAAACCCGACGACCGCGACCACAACTGAGATGCAGCGGATTAGCGTCCGCTTTGGGGGCCCAGCCCGCAGCCGCCGGAGCACAAGCGTCACTACCCGGAACAGTGCACAACGGAAGGTGAAGGTACCTCTGGAGGATGAGAATGATGCGCTGGCCACTGCTGACCGCCTGGCCGCCCCGGCAGCAGCTGAGCTCCTGTCCACTGTGACAGGTAATAGCCGGTCATCAGCGGCCAACTCCAGTGAGTATGATAGCTCATTGGAAGAGGGAGTCGTGATTGATGCCAAAAAAACCACCTATTCTGGAACTCTGTCTTCGATCTCCAATACTAGGAGTGTTAGCACAACCACCACCGGGAGGTTTGTAGCCAATAGCCAGGAGCGAGAGATTAGGATGACCACGGATCTGCCATCCTTCACTTCAAAGCCTACTGTGGACCTGAGTTCCGAGACTCCCGAGAGCACCCTGCACCAGTGGTCGACACCTGGGTCTACCCCGACCCCGTGGCGAAAAGCATCACCCACAGCCATGCCATCTCCTGAGGATCTGCGGGTGATGCTGATGCCTTGGGGCCCATGGCACTGCCACTGTAAGTCGGGTACCATGAGCAGGAGCCGCGCCGGAAAGCTGCATGGTGTTTCTGGGCGCCTTCGAATTGGGGCACTGAATGAACTCCGCACGGAGCACCGGCCTTGCACCTACCAGCAGTGCCCTTGCAACAAGCTCCTGGAGGAGTGCCCTCTGGACTCCAGCCTCTGTCCTGACAGTGGCTGCAGTTCGCCCTCCAAAGCGATCAGCACCACCTCTCCTCAGGCTCCTGTCCACCTGAGACGCAGACCCATCCTCCCACCCACTAGCCCGAGCCCTAGCCCAGCTCTTGCCTTTTGGAAACGTGTCAGGATCGGCCTAGAGGACATCTGGAATAGCCTTTCTTCAGTGTTCACAGAGATGCAACCAGTAAGTTGTTTTGCTAATGAGCAAGACGTTCCTTGATGAATTTGAAAAGTCCTGGTGTCCCAAATCTGTGGTGTCCCACAGGCAGTATGCTTGTGGGAGCTGTTACTGACTTACCTGTCCAGTTACTGAGTCCTAGCGTGCACTGGTTATCCTTGGCCAATTTGGTGTTTTTGTTTGGTGGTTTTGTGAGGTTTTTTTGGGGGGGGAGGGGTGGTTTGAGACAACAGTTCTCTATGTAGCCCTGGCTGTCCTGGAACTCACTACATAGACCAGGTTGACCTTGAACTCAGATGCTCCTGCCTCTGCTGGAATTAAAGACCTGTGCCACTGCAGCTGGTGCCTTTTTTTTTTTTAAATATTTGTGTGCATGTCTGTTTTGTGTTGAGAGAGCTAGTTCTCTCATTCCACCATGTGATTTACAGGGATCAAACTCAGGTGGTGAGCACTAGTGTGATCTTGACAGCCCGAGATGGTCTCTTATAAAGCTCAGGATGGCCTTTTTTTTAAAAAAAAATTATTTATTTATTTATTATGTATACAGTGCAGGCCAGAAGAGGGTACCAAGACTCATTACAGATGGCTGTGAGCCACCATATGGTTGCTGCGGATTGGACTCAGGACCTTTGGAAGAGCAGGCAAAGCTCTTAACCACTGAGCCATCTCTCCAGCCCTTATTTATTTATTTATTTATTTATTACGTATACAATATTCTGTCTGTGTGTATGCCTGCAGGCAAGAAGAGGGCACCAGACCTCAATACAGATGGTTTTGAGCCACCATGTGGTTGCTGGGAATTGAACTCAGGACCTTTGGAAGAGCAGGCAATGCTCTTAACCTCTGAGCCATCTCTCCAGCCCCATCAGGATGGCCTTGAACTCTCTGTGTAGCCAAGGGTGCAACCACTTCTACAATGCTGGGATAACAGATGTGTAACAATCATGTCTTATCACTTTTTGAACACTTACTGGTCATCAGATTATTAAATTCTTTTTTTAAAAAAAGATTTATTTATTATGTATAGTGTTCTGCCTGCATATACACATGCAGGCCAGAAGAGGGCACCAGACCTCATTACAGATGGTTGTGAGCCACCATGTGGTTGCTGGGAATTGAACTCAGGACCTTCGGAAGAGCAGACAGTGCTCTAACTGCTGGGCCATCATTCCGTCCCTGTTATCAGATTATTATTGACCAAATAAAGACTTCTTTACCTTTTTTCTTTTTGAGAATCTTAGTAGAGTCCTGGCTAACCTCTACAACTTTCCCAACATGCTTGGTTATAAAGACTCAATTCATAGACAATGGACATGGGACATATTAACCGATTAATGATTAACAGAGTTTAAAGAAAATCATTGTGTAAATGTATTTTGCCGGTGTATATTCTGTGTAGCATACATTCCTGGTGTCCACGGAAACCAGAAAAGGGATGGTTGTCTGGAGCTGTTGTTACAGATGATTGTGAACCGCCATGTGGGTGCTGGAACTTGAACCCATACCCTCTGGAAGGGCAGCCAGTGCTGAGCCATCTCTCCAATTCTGATCAACACAGTTTTGATTTAATGCATTGTAACAGTAATAGCCAATACCTGAGCTCTCACTCCAGATATGGCACTTGAATCTGCCCTCAGCTTATAGGGCCGTATTCTGTTTACTGATGAAGAGACAGGTCTACAAGCCAGTAGGGCTGAGGTAGGTGACTCAGTGGTCTTGTCTAGTCCATGCAAAAGCAATAGGTTCAAGTCCTTCACTGAAGAAAAAGTTTTGTAGTGACAGCCACAAAACTGAAACCAACTTTTCCATCAGGACCCAAAGGACTGGCCTTTGGGGACTCTACCCAGCAACTTAAAATTTCTCAAAGAAGCTGGGTGTGGTGGTGCTACCTTTAATCCCAGTGCTTGGGAAGCAGATCTCTGAGTTCGAGGCCAGTCTGGTCTACATAGTGAGTTCAGGACAGCCAGAGCTACCACAGTGAGACCCTGTCTCAAAACAACAAAGTTCCTGACGGCTCAGACTGACTCTAGTCTCAGTCGCTAGGGATGACTGGCGGGGAAAAGACTCAACAAACACAGAGCATACTTGATGATTTAGCTGGTTCCTATTTTTGTTTTCCTCCTGGGGAGTCCAATTCCATTTTTAATATAAAAATAAAGCACTTGAGGCTGGAGATATATGTAACTTGGTTAGTTGAGCTCTGGGCTGGATTCCTAGCAGCACAGACGGGGATGTTACAATCATGTGCTGAGAGGTAAGAGAGCTGAAGCTCCTGGTCAGGGCACTGGACATGTGGCTCAGTGCTTAGGGGCATTTACTGCTCTTCCAAAGGACACCAGCTACATTGCCAGCCAGCACACCCATCAGGCACTCAAACCACCTGGACCCTGTGGGTACCTGCACTAGGACACACACACAATTAAAAAGTAAGTTCCAAAAAAACTAACCAAACAAACAAACAAAAATATAAAAAACAAAACTTAAGTTCCAGGTCTGGTCAGGGAGATGACTTGGCAAATAAAAATGCCAACTCGGCAAGTGCTTACAAGATGGAGAAAAACACTCCTGAAAAGCTAAACCCAGAATCCATACGTGTGCCACTGTATGGCCATGCCCCCATTCCCACAAAACAAACAACCAACCAAATAAATAAATAAATATTTTTTTTTTTTGAAGACAGGGCCTATATAGCCTTTTCCAGGCTGACTCACTGTATAGATCAGTCTGGTCTCAAGTCCCAAGTGTTAATATTAAAGGTGTGTGTAATACCTAACAAAATCAAAATAAAACATAAAAAAATTTGAGGCCACCCTCGACTACATAAGACCCTATTTTTTAAAAAAAGATAAATGAAATAAATGGAGAAACATAAGGAGAGAGCAGAGCTGGGGAGATGGCCAGGGGATGCAATGCTTGCTGGGCAATCAAGAGAAAAGTCCAGAGCCCCAGGACTTTTCCATAAATGGAGGCCATTTATGGAGTCATGTGTGTGGGCTCCAGTTCAGTGAGACACCAGACATCAACCCCACACATGCGTGCGCACACATGCACACATAAAGATAACAGACATCAACCATACACACACACATGCACACATAAAAATAACAGACATCAACCATACATACACACACACACACACAGATACCAGACATCAACCACACACATGTACACACACACACTCAGAGATATTAGATATAAACTATACACACACACACACACACACACACACACACGAAGACACCAGACATCAACCCCCCCACACACACTAGACATCAACCACACACACACACACACACACACACAGATACCATCAACTACACACACACACACACACGGAGATACCAGACATCAACTACACACACGCAAACACACATGGAGAAACTAGACATCAACTACACAACACACACATATGGAGGAGATACCAGACATCGACCACACACATGCACACACACACACACACAGATACCGGACATCAACTATACCTACATGCACACACATACCCAGACACCAGACATCTACCATATACACCCCCCCAAACCAGCAGAGTTAAGGAAATGGTTTGTAGACGGTAAGGAAAAGAATGTCGATATCGATAAGATTATAATCTCTCCTTTTCTCTATTTTCTTGCCTTCCCCAGATAGAAAGAACCCAGAGGTGATGGCCACGTCACCTTCGAGAGATGTCTGCATTGTAACCTCCCTTTTCAACCCCTGAACCCACTACATATTTTTAATACAGAAAAAAAAAAACTTAAAATACATATTTTGGTCTCATTTTTCTTTTTGGTGGTGACTGGTTCAACCCAGGGTTCTACACATGCTAGGCAAACACTCTTCCACTGGTCCTTGTGTCTTTTTTGGTTTTTCAAGACAGGAGACAGGGTTTCTCTGTGGAGCCTGGGCTGTCCTGGACTCACTCTGTAGACCAGGCTAGCCTCAAATTCAAGATTGACCTGCCTGTGCCTCCCAAGTGCTGGGATTAAAGGTGTGGGCCACCGCTGCCCAGCTGGTCTTGTGTCCTCCCAAAAGCACTTACGTGGGGACGTTAGAGCCAGCAGCCTCTAGCTGGTTTCTCTATTCTGTCTTCCAAAACAGAACTGCTCACACTGCTCATCTTCCCCATTCCCAGTGCGGTCTGAAACAAATACATCAGTTCTTTGAGACAGGGTCTTACTCTGTAGCCCTAGCTAGCCTGGAACTTGCTGTGCAGATCAGAATGGCCTCAAACTCAGAGATCTGCCAGCCTCTTGAATGCTGGTTAAAGGTGTGTGCCATCACACCTGGCCAAAATAAGTAGTTCTGAAACACCAAGGAAAGGGAATAGCCGGAATCCACCCGAGACTGTGGCGGCTTTCCTTCCTTCCCTACCGATTCAGTCCTCGTCAGGAAACGCCATGCTGGTGCCAAGTCCCATTCTAGACAGGGTTTCTCTGTGTAACAGCCCCGGCTGTCCTGGAACTCACAGAGATCCTCCTGCCTCTGCCTCCCGAGTGCTGGGATTAAAGGCGTGTACCACTAGGCTCAGCTATCTTTTTTTTCTCCCATGCCCACCTTTTGATCTAACAAACATTTGTAGTGATTACTCTGCAATTGTTTTTGCTTAATTCTTTTATTGGAAAAAATGTATCTTAAAAGTCCATCAAGTTTTGAATATAAATTATGATGGTCAACCCATTCCAATCACCCTGGTAAGTGGTGGCAGCATACACATTAGAGAAGGTAGCTTGAGGCAGGAGAGCATCAAAGAAAGAGAAGACTGTGCCCCAATAAGTTAACAAAACTGGAGCTCGGGGTTCACCCCCAGTGTCCAACCTCTGGGGACACTGGGACTTGACGTTCAGGGCCTTCCTTGGAGCACGCTGCAGGTTCACCATGCCTGCAAGTGGTCGTGTAGCCTCTAACTAGCAGGCAAGCTCCCTCCAGGGAGGCAGGCCTGACTGGAATGGCAAGGAAGCAAACCGGGAATGGACATTCACGACCAACGCTAGAGCCTGGAAGTCTCCAGGGAGCACACTGAGCTTTGGATAAAAGAAAACCTCAGTCACTAGGCGAGGGGTAGAACTGGACGGGGTCAGCAGGAGTGGACCAGTTCCCACAGCCCTGACCCATCACCACACAACAGCTTCCTATTACAGAGCTAATGAGACCCCAGCCCGCCTCTCTAGGACGGGGCAGGCGCTCACCTGTCTTGTTCTGCCTTTCTAATCAGACCGCAAAGAAAGGGCCAGAACAAAGAGACCTGAGAAAACAAAGGGCCTAAAGACTCTGCCCCTGCGGCGCTCCCACTTAGAGCAGGAGCTCCAGCCTCTTGCCAAGCCGCACACGTGACACTTCCAAACCAAAGTCCCTGAGTCTTATGCTGGGTTCGAGGACCAGAGCGCAGAGGAGCTCAGCACGTGGACACAGGACCAGTTCTCTGCAGCTCTGATCCCTCGTCTCTCATCCCAGCTCACCCTGTTCACGGCTCCGCACCGTGGGAGGCCCTCTTGCAGAGACCAACCACAGAGGCACATTGGACGTGTCTGTCACAGAAACCTGAGCCCACGCAAGCACAAGCAATGCGTTTGAAAGAAAGGCGCACATCTCTGCGGAGCCCGCTCTTCGAGGGCACCAGCTCGCCCATGGCTCAGGGTGAACAACCAGACTGGTGGAGGGTGGGGCATGTGGAAATCACTTGACTCTCAACTGTGGGTAATTCTGTCCCTAGGAGACACTTGGCAATTTCTGGGGGCGTTTTGGTTGCCACACTAGGGTGGGCTGGAAATGCAGCCCACACTGTTTTCAGCTGTATGGGTTGAAAAGCTAGGCCTCCATAAAGGATCTCAAGACCTGTGCTGCATTCCCAACAGGAAGTCCGCCCTGAGGTCCTGGCTTTTAGACACGGCCCTCCTCTTCCTTTCACCTGGCCAGCAGGGAGCTGACAGAGGTTAGGCCAGGACTCCCAGTCTTAAATGGAATGTGGTCAAATTAAGATCCGTTCCTCACCTCTAATTCAGTGAGAAACAGTAAAATCCCTCGAAGGGATGGGGCGAGGCCTGAGATAGCAGGATGGGGTAATTAAAAGAACTCATCTTAAATTAAAATTTTAATTAAAAAAAGAGAATATTTCTGGGAAGCTATTAATACTACAGAAGCACGGAATTAGAGGCCTAACTGGAGCAAGACCCTGGTGCCAGCAGAGACATGGAGGGCTGTGAGTTTTCATCTGAAATCCAGCGGTGTACTGGGCAATGGTAACCCCGCCCCTTGGACTCTGCATTGCTCATTCCAGAAGGAAAGAGGGCAAGGAGGCAGCTGTGGTCCCCTCACCTACCTGCCTCATTTAAAAAGTAAAGGCAAGAAGTTTAAACAGGTGGCACCCGACCTTCATTCCGGAGCAGGGAACTCATTCCAGGTTCCCAGAGAACCCCCAGCTCAGATCTAGGGTGCCCAGGGCAGCTGAGCTCCTCTGGCCCACCAGTAGTCAAGTGGTCAGTCCTGCTGCCTTGAGCCCATCTCCAGGAGGGCAGAGGCCAGAGGGAGGAGAGGGAGTCCAGCCCCCATGCCGTGGGAGGCACTTGTTAGGAAGAGGGGGGGAGGTGGGGCCCTTGGGTCACTGGTTGTGGAAGGGATCTGGTGTGGGCAGCATTTCTTCTGGGCTGGACACGGAATGGGAACGCCAAGACTGCAGAGCCTGAATTAAAAAAAAAAATAAATCAACTCTTGATTTCACACGATAGCCCAGGCTGCTCTCAAACACACAGTAATCCTCCTGCCTCAACTTCCAAAGTGCTAGGATTATAGGCATGTGCTGGGGAATATTATTCTCAGGTGTGTGGCTTTTGCTTACGCTGCATTTGTTTAACTCTGTGAAGCTGTGTTACTGTGCCTGTCCAAAACCCCTGATGGTCTAATAAAGAGATGGACAGCCAATAGCGAGACAGGAGCAGGGATGGGCGGGGCTAGCAGGCAGAGAGGATAGATATAGAATGAATAAGGAAGAGCTAGAGAACAAGGAGAGGAGGACATCGGGGCAGCCACCAGCTACACAGCAAGTCATAGAGGAGAAAGGTAGGCAGAACTAGAGATAAAAGCCCAGAGGTAAAGGACGTCAGGAGAATTTCAGAAAAGCTGGCAAGAAACAAACAGTCCACACAAAGGCCAGGCATTCATAAATAATAATAAGCTTCCATGTGGTTTATTTGGGAGCTGGGTGGTGGGCCCCTCAAAAAGCCAAGAGTAAAACACCCACAACAGGCATGAACCAATGTCTGGCCAAACTGTTTTGTTTTTTTTTTTTTAAAGGAAGATCTGGAGCCAAACACAATAGTACTAGTGGCTCTAAGAAGTTTCCAGAAGGAGGATCCTGAATTAAAGGTCAGCCTGGGCTACAAAGTGAATTTGAGTCACTTTAGCTCCCTATAAAAACCCTACTGGACGAGAGGGAGAAAGGGAGAAGGCGCTACACAGGTGCCCATCTTTGTGGGGGAGTAGAAGGGAGACAGCCTCACTATGTAGCCCTAATCTCACGTTTGCAGAGACTTGCCCGCCTCTGCCTCCCAGTGCTGGGTTACAGCCACGTGTAGTGGACATTTTAAGCTTTCTATAAGGCTCGTCTCAATGTTTTTCTTGGTTTCTTGAGACTGGGTCCCATGTAGCCTTCACTGACCTTGACTTCACTAGACTGTCAGAGAAGCTTGAACTTGACCTCGGGTTTGCCGGGCAGGACGGGCGGGACACTGGGTGTGTGCCACCATAGTCTCCCCACCCCACACCTTCCCGCAGAGATCCTACGTTTTCTGATCCTGTGTTCTTGCGTTTTCACTTTCTCATTCTTGCATCAAAAGATCACGGCCTGAGGCAGGCCGCAAGGAGTGCTGGCATGAGCACCGGGTCACTTACCAGGCCCGTGGGAGCTACAAGGCCCTAGAATTGCTCCACGGTCTGTCCCGGTTTCCCTTGGATCTCATCTGCTCCTGAACCGCACCGGTCTGTTGGAGAGCACAGGGCACAGTCACCTAACTCTCCGCACTCCGTGACAAGCAACAGTTTCCCGTGTGTCCCCAGGAGCCTGACCTCGTCTCTTTTCTGACAACAGCATCTGTCTGAGGAGTTTAAGCCTGACCACCGTTCTTCTCAGACAAGTCTCCCACAGGAAAACAAGGTGGAGGAGTCATTTACTAATGAGACACACACACACACACACACACACACACACACACACACACACACCACTCCAATATTTTCCTGTGAGTTTTGTAACCAGTATTAAAAACTCTGTCCAGACCTGTTCAGAGACATTATTTAGAACAGACCCTTACAGGGCCCAAGCTCTGACACTGACTGAACAGGTTTTCTTTTCTTTTGTCTTTTTCTATTTTGGGATAGGGTCTCTAGGCCGGGCAGGCCTCAAACTCTCTGTGCAGGATGACCTTGAGCCTCTGGTCTCTAGTTCCTGAGTGCTGGGGTTAGAGGTATGAGTCACCACACCCAGCTTCGACAGGGCTGAAGATCAAGCCCAGGGCTTCCTGCACGCTAGGCGAGCACTCCACCACCTGAGCTCCGTCCCAGCTCTGATTAGGTTCTTAATAAGGGAAACCATGGTCTGAGAAAAAGGCCTTCAACTATTACAAACATTTATACTCCAATGAAGACCCAATGCTAACTGTAAAGAAGGGAACTAGCCCTAGAGATCAGAAATCCACACCACTGGGGACCAGGTCTACAAACTAAGATTCTTGTTTCCCCATTAAGTATATTCTGTTACGTCCCTCGCTTGGCTACACCCCCACATGAACACCCGCCCTTCCCTTGTTACCATGGCAAGCCCGTCTCCAGCCCCCATCTCTCCTGAGCCGATGTGGGTCAAGTGGACAAAATTCATTGGTTCCCCGATCATGGTGCGGTCAATTCGTCTTCTCCTCTTCTTCTGCTTGGAGAAGACAGGGAGTCACACAGGCAGCCTCTCCCCCGTGGAGGAAGGGGAAGGAGGCTTGGAAAACCACCAGGAGTTAAGGTTGACTTGGCAGTGTCATGGGCAAACACCAGGGTAGGAAAGACAGAGCCGGAATAACAAACCCGAGGCAATGTCACCAGAGTGGTGGCCTGCTGGGTGAGCACGCAAAGAAAGGGACAAAGCAAAGGCACCTAGGATGATGAGGGGACACTGACAGGTCTCAAGTTCTACCTACAACCCCTGCCACCTCAGAACAGGGGCAGGTGACAGGGCTGTTCAACTCTTCTGTCACAGTCTCCTTTATTGCACGGGACCGGACCCTGCCACAGACACTTAGGAGGTAGGTGAGACAAGTGTTTTTCAGAAGGCAGACCAGAGATGGTGTGTCCACTTCCCGGCACACGGTAACGAATTTTTGTATGTGGCAGGGTGGGGACAGGAGACTTACCGGCTGGGGTTTCTCTACCACGCAACAGCCCAGTTTGTGCCAAAATTCACTCATATTCCCTGATGGTTCCAGCTTCGGGCCTCTGCCAGAGGCCCCAGAGGGCACTTGTTTTGTTGCTAACCAGCCAGTCCTCACACTCAGGCGGAACAGCACCCTGGATTCACACAGCTGGATGGTTCTAGGGCTGTGGGAACCCTAGAGACCCTCGATCGTGCAGTGAAGGTCGGAGTCTCAGACCCGGGGCCACTAAAAGCACCAGTAAGAGGCTTGGGCAGGCAGGCACAAGGTTCTGTCTTCTTTAGATTTGAAATCCTGAATTTTAGCAGAAAGAAAAAGAAGTGTTAGTGAGAAGCATCCCTCCCCAGTCCCTTTCCCGAGAGACCTGATACACTTCCATCTTCTCTCGTGGAGGCTACTACTCTCCCCCTGTACTGTCCCCCGCAAACACAGGATGTTCACAGTTGCTCCTCACAACAGATAGTGCAAAAGACTAACCCGGTCAGGAGCGATGACAACTGGGACCAAGGAAGAAGGGGGCTAAGAGAACTTTGGATGAGACGGTGACAGAAAAGGACAGAGTTAAGGGGTGCTACTGACTTCAGTTCCCTTCGCCGCGGGCGAGGGCAGGAGGGGAGGGCACGTAAGAGACTCCGAAGAGGAAACAGTGGTTTCTGCTCTCACAAACAAGGCCTCCGCCCTGTCCCTCCCTTTTCTCGTACCTTACCCCAACACCTCCATTTGCTTTAAGGACCACCTAGTCAGTTCCCAGGAGACTGGCAGTGTGTTCTGGAGCAGGGAATTTCTCCTCCTCAGTCCACTGCCTTTGTTCCTCCACACGCACTTCCCCCAGCTGAAGTCCAACGGCCTCCCAGAGTCCAGTTAGAGTTATTATCTGACCTTGCCTTTCCCGAGAGCTCTGCAGACTTGTGTGCACCTACCCGTGGCCCCAGCTCCCTGTCTTGCACAGGTAATGTGCGGAGAGGCGTTCGGTTCCGAGCCTCCCCACCCTTTTCCACGTGTTCCATCCTGTGCTGTTCCGTGTCTTACACCCTGTAAGGCTTGACCTCCCTCTCCCTCCCCTCCCGCTCTGACCTGCTCTCTTCCTTCTCCCCACTTCCAAGCCCCACCAGTGAGCCAGACACAGGAACTTTCCAGCAGCTCGTGTCCCAGGAGGAACGTTCTCCCCTCCTCACTGCGGCCAACCTGGGGTGACAGCCTGTCTGCGCTTCCTCTGTATAGCAGAGTCAAGCTCAGGAGTCCAATAGGGCAGCCCATGAATATTAAACATGAGCATGAATAGGAATGAGCCTCTAGGCTTGGGGCTGGAAGCCAGCTGCTCCAGTAGCCTAGACAGACCAAAAAACTTGACTTTTGTTTGTTTTTTGAGCGTTGTTTTCTAGCAGCCCTGAGATGAGATCACTCAAGCAGGGAAACACAGCTCCTAGGGTAGGAAAGAACCCAAGGGTCGGCTTCTCTTTCACTTCCCTTCCCGCCCCTGGAAGGCAGGAGTAACCAGGACTGGTCAGAACACAGCTGCCCAGGGAGGGGAGGCTGACCAGTGGGAACGCGGTCACAAGGCTTGTCATGATGGTGGCAGGTGGTAGGGGTTTGGGGAAATGGAGAAAACAATAAAGAATCAGAGGAAACCCCCAACACGACCAGACAGTCCATACTGAGCCTGGCCTCTACCCAGTATTCCCCACCCTGCTCAGAGCGCAGTGGACAGAGGTGGCCAGTGCTGGGAGGAGGGAGGGGAGGAGGGAGAGGAAAGGGGGCCCTGAGGAAACAAGGACCTTTCTGTTTCTCTTCCAGGGACCTGACCAAGATGGGTGGAGGGAAAGTGTGTGTGGGACTTGGCAAGAAACAACCAATGATGATGAGAAGTGACCAGGAAATTCCACTCCCTAGGACATTAGGGTCTCTGAAGCTTGGAGGCGGTGTCAGAGTGTGAAGACAGGCCAGGGTCAATGTGGTAGTGTTGGGTGGGGGGAAGAGGAACAAAGCCAGAAAAGGAAGTACTAGGCATTGGCTGTCACTCAGTTTTAAAGCAGCCAACGATTGGGATGGGGACAAACCAGGCCTCAGCTGGTGAGTCTAGGCAGCAGCGATGCTGGAGCCACTGCCCACTCCTTCATCCCCATAGAAAAAAGGGGAGGAGATGGGAAAAGAGAAGGGATCTAGGGTTAGACAGCATAGAGCCACATCCTGACAGTGGGGCCCCTCTCATTTCCACACGAAATCCAGAACCTGGAGTGACAATCTCCAAATCACCGGCGTGATCACGGTGGGCTTTCAGGACGGCAGAGCTGGAGAGGGGCAAGCAAGGGAGGGGTGGGGGTAAGGAGCCGGAGAGGAAGGATGTACACAGGTAGTTCCCCGGTCCTGTGGTAGCCCCAAACCGGTTTTCCCGGTCCCGCTGCCTCCAGCCTCAAGGCCTCCAACCCGCTGTCTGACAAGCCTTCACAAGAAGCAGCTGGAGAGAAAGAGACTTGAGAATGGTGTGGGCAAATTTGGCTGTAAGCCCAGGGATGCAGCTGGTCCCTGCGTGGAGACCCTCCAGACACAGCGGGCTCCTGAGGGGCCCTGGAGAGAGGAACGGGCCCCATTTCCAGTCAAGTGACAGACATTTGTCCTAGCACCAACCCTGCCCGAACCCCAGGAAAGGGCTTCTGGGGACTTAGGAGGAAACAGGAGACCCTAATTTGTTCCCCTCCCCCAATATTTTCCATCAGACTCCAGCTCTCTCCCCCACCCACTCCGAACTAGGATGGGAACCTCAGTG